GCACACCTGTTAATTGAAATGCATTCCAGGTGACTACCTCATGAAGCTGGTTGAGAGAATGCCAAGAGTGTGCAAAGCTGTCATCAAGGCAAAGGATGGCTACTTGAAGGGTGGCAACTATAAAATATATTTTGATTTGTTTAAGACCTTTTGGATTACTACATGATTCCATATGTGTTATTTCATAGTTTTGCTGTCTTCACTACTATTCTACAATGTAGAAAATAGTAAAAATAAAGAAAAACCCTTGAATGAGTAGGTGTGTCCAAACTTTTGACTGGTACTGTATATTTTTAGCTAAACAGGTGGGGCTCAAAACAGGTGGGGCCAGGAAAATAACCTCTTTGTCAACATCAACCAAATGAAGGAGCTGATCATTGACTACAGGAAACAGCAGAGAGAGCACACCCCCATCCACATCGAAGGGAGCCGCAGTGGAGATGGTCAAAATCTTCAAGTTCCTCTGCGTGCACATCACTGAGGACCTGGCAGCTTGGTGAAAAATGCGCAACAGCACCTCTTCAACTTCAGGAGGCAGAAGAAATTTGGATTGGCCCCTAAAATGCTCATTAACTTATACAGATGCACCATCGAGAGCAGCCTGTTCACCCCGCTAACATCTAAAAGACGGAGACAGTACAGGGGCATCAAAACTGGAACCGATAAACTGATAAACAGCTTCTATCTTCAGGCCATACTGAACAAAAATATAAACACAACATGCAACAATTTCAAAGATTTTACTGAGTTACAGTTCATATAAGGAAATCAGTCAATTGAAATAAATTCATTAGGCCCTAATCTATGGATTTCACATGACTGGGAGTACAGATACAAAAAAAGTAGGGGCGTGGATCAGAAAACCAGTCAATATCTGGTGTGATCACCATTTGCCTCATGCAGTGCGATACATCTCCTTTGCATAGAGTTGATCATGATGTTGATTGTGGCCTGTGCAATGTTGTCCCACTCCTCTTCAATGGCTGTGCGAAGTTGCTGGATATTGGCGGGAACTGGAACACGTATTCATACACGTCGATTCAGAGCATCCCAAACAGGCTCAATGGGTGACATGTCTGGTGAAAATTTAGGCCATGGAAGAACTGGGACTTTTTCAGCCTCCAGGAATTGTGTACATTATTTTTTATTTAATTTTTTGTCATTTAGCAGACACTCTTATCCAGAGCGACTTACAGGAGCAATTAGGGTTAAGTGCCTTGCTCAAGGGCACATCGACAGACTTTTCACTTAGTTGGCTCGGGGATTAGAACCAGCGACCTTTCGGTTACTGGCACAACGCTCTTAACCACTAAGCTACCTGCCGCCCTACATGGTGCCGTGGTCTGCAGTTGTGAGGCCGGTTGGACCAACTACCAAATTCCCTAAAACGACGTTATGGTAGAGAACTGAACATTTAATTATCTGGCAAAAGCCCTGGTGAACATTCCTGCAGTCAGCATACCAATTGCAAGCTCCCTCAAAACTTGAGACATCTGTGGCATTGTGTTGTGTCACAAAACTGCACATAAAAAAATATATATATATATACATATATATATACACAAATTGTAATAACAATGTATGCACTCACTAACTGTAAGTCACTCTGGATAAGAGTGTATGCTAAATGACAAAAAAAACAAAAAACAAAAAAACAAAAACAGGGATGTAAACAATTTTGTGCACAAAATTTGAGAGAAATAAGCTTTTTGTGTGTATGGAACATTTCGGGAATCTTTTATTTCAGCTCATGAAACATGGGACCAACACTTGACATGTTGCGTTTATATTTTTGTTCAGTGTAGTAGGTGCCAGGCGCACGGTTAGTGTCAAGAACAGTTTCCCGCTTGTATAAAGAATGGTCCACCACCCAAAGGACATCCAGCCAACTTGACACAACTGTGGGAAGCATTGGAGTCAACATGAGCCAGCATCCCTGTGGAATGTTTTCGATACCTTGTAGAGTCCATGCCCCAACGAATTGAAGCTGTTCTGAGGCCAAAAGGGGGGCTGGTGCAACTCAATATTAGGAAGGTGTTCCTAATGTTTGGTATACTCAGTGTACACACCATTCACATACATATATATTTATATTCCGGACTCGGTTTTGTTTTTTTGACATGGGGGTTTTGTACTGTGTATTTAAATACTGTATTCACGTCATAGCTCATTCTATTATGTCTACTACTGGATATTGCATTTTAGTTACACCGTTTATACACACCGCATATTTATTTACATAATGATTCCTGACATAGCTCACCCTAATATATCTACTGATGTACATACTGTATAATTCTTAGTATAGCATGTGTACATTTATCCGGTGTATATAGTATACAGTTGAAGTCGGAAGTTTACATACACTTATGTTGGAGTAATTAAAACTTGTTTTTCAACCATTCCACAAATTTCTTGTTAACAAACAATAGTTTTGGCAAGTCGGTTAGGACATCTACTTTGTGCTTGACACAAGTATTTCCAACAATTGTTTACAGACAGATTATTTCACTTATAATTCACTGTATCAGAATTCCAGTGGGTCAGAAGTTTACATACACTAAGTTGACTGTGCCTTTAAACAGCTTGGAAAATTCCAGAAAATGATGTCATGGCTTTAGAAGCTTCCGATAGGCTAATTGACATCATTTGAGTCAATTGGAGGTGTATCTGTGGATGTATTTCAAGGCCTGCCTTCAAACTCAGTGCCTCTTTGCTTGACATCATGGGAAAATCAAAATAAATCAGCCAAGACCTCAGAAAAAAATGTGTAGACCTCTACAAGTCTGCTTCATCCTTGGGAGCAATTTACAAACGCCTGAAGGTACCACGTTCATCTCTACAAACAATAGTAAGCAAGTATAAACACCATGGGACCACGCAGCCGTCATACCGCTCAGGAAGGAGACGCGTTCTGTCTCCTAGAGATGAACGTACATTGGTGCGAAAAGTGCAAATCAATCCCAGAACAACAGCAAAGGACCTTGTGAAGATGCTGGAGGAAACGGGTACAAAAGTATCTATATCCACAGTAAAATGAGTCCTATATCGACATAACCTGAAAGGCCGCTCCGCAAGGAAGAAGCCACTGCTCCAAAACCGCCATAAAAAAGCCAGACTACAGTTTGCAACTGCACATGGGGACAAAGATCGTACTTTTTTGAGAAATGTCCTCTGGTCTGATGAAACAAAAATAGAACTGTTTGGCCATAATGACCATCGTTATGTTTGGAGGAAAAAGGGGAATGCTTGCAAGCCGAAGAACACCATCCCAACCGTGAAGCACGGGGGTGGCAGCATCATTGTGTGGCTTAAGGACAACAAAGTCAAGGTATTGCAGTGGCCATCACAAAGCCCTGACCTCAATCCTATAGAAAATTTGTGGGCAGAACTGAAAAAGCGTGTGCGAGCAAGGAGGCCTACAAACCTGACTCAGTTACACCAGCTCTGTCAGGAGGAATGGGCCAAAATGCACCCAATTTATTGTGGGAAGCTTGTGGAAGGCTACACGAAACATTTTTACATTTACATTTTAGTCATTTAGCAGACGCTCTTATCCAGAGCGACTTACAGTTAGTAAATACATATATTTCTTTTTAAACTGGCCCCCCGTGGGAATCGAACCCACAACCCTGGCGTTGCAAACGCCATGCTCTATCAACTGAGCTACATCCCTGCCGGCCATTCCCTCCCCTACCCTGGACGACGCTGGGCCAATTGTGCGCCGCCCATGAGTCACCCGGTCGCGGCCGGCTGCGACAGAGCCTGGATTCGAACCAGGATCTAGTGGCACAGTTAGCACTGCGATGCAGTGCCTTAGACCACTGCGCCACTCAGGAGTTACAAACAATTGACCCAAGTTAAATAATTTAAAGGCAATGCTACCAAATACTAATTGAGTGTATGTAAACTTCTGACCCACTGGGAATGTGATGAAAGAAATAAAAGCTGAAATAAATCATTCTCTCTACTATTATTCTGACATTTCACATTCTTAAAATAAAGTGGTGATCCTAACTGACCTAAAACAGGGAATTTTTACTAGGATTAAATGTCAGGAATTGTGAAAAACTGAGTTTAAATGTATTTGGCTAAGGTGTTTGTAAACTTCCGACTTCAACTGTATATTGCATTTGGATTACTGTTACAGTGCTATTTGGGTTAATTGGATTTGTTCCTACATTTCAATATATTTATTTTATTTTATTTGTTATGTTGTATTTGTTATGTTATGAGCTAGTAACAAGCATTTCGCTGCACCTGCTATAACATCTGCTAAACTGTGTACTCGACCAATACACTTTTATTAGATTTCTCAGTCAATGTTGCACATGCAAAGTGAGTTTAGCCTACCTCCATTGACAGTTCAATGGGAGGGGGAGGGGGGGAATAACAATTTATGTTAGGGTGAAGTCTAATCGCACAAAAGTTCAAACCCAAATGTTAAACAAGATGTATTATACTGTAAATTCTCTACCATACCCATCTCCCCATAAATGTAATAATTGATCAGCTGCATACATTTAGGTCTTGTCAAAGACACTGAAGACAGCTAGTTAAAGTTGTCAGGTCCACTCAAGACATATGACTAATAGATAGACTGAAACACAGTATGGAGAGAATAATTGTTTTACTTTATACGTATTTCTATCTTATCCAATGTTCACCAGCAACTGCAAAACATTTAAATGTAAACTTCAGTGGATGATGACAGTTCTAGAAAGATTTACGGTACTCAAATTTGGAGACGTGGCAATCAGTAGCCAATCAGGTGCCCAGGATGCGGTTTCGGGCAAAGGGACCACAGCGAAGATTTTACCCAATGTAAACACATACTCTAAAACACGATTGGTTCAAACACTACAAACTTTTAATGTAAGCCAATCAAACGTGAATGCAATGAATAAACGTTTTATTATGGAACATAAGGTCATCAGCCAAACGTGCCTTTTTGCTGAAGTTGACCAATCAAAGCTCGCGAAGGCTCAATCTGTAATCTCATTCGATCTCCTTTTAGAAGGAAAGGGTTGATGCTAGGGTGTGTTCATTAAGCTGTTGGCTTGTGAAATAGACATACTGTACATATTGTGTCTGGAATCATCAGCCAGTTAGATAGGTAGGTAATACAATGCTATTACTTCTCTTACAAGCTAACATTGATGCGTTGATTGTGTTACTTTGTATGATCAGCTAACCCTAAATGGTAGGATATGCAATTCAGGCGCATTCCAATAGTTTTACAAGAGAGCTAGCGGCTAGCAGGGGATATTGTTATGATGAAGAGACTGAAGACAAAATGTCTTACGTTACTGTCAACAACTGATTTCTGTTTTATTGTTCCACATTTGGTAATGTAGCTAAATGTGACATTTTACATGGACAGTGTTGTCCGTGTGTGAATGGTGTATATGATGATACATTGTAAGTTAACAATCTGTGCCTTTATTTGTGTTCAGACAGCCAAACGCTACATTCTTTCCACACACCGTTATAGTGTGCAATTTTGCTATTGCGTTCCACTGATCTGTGTTCAAGTACTGTTAACTATTTAAAAACCTCAATGTTACAAATGCCACATCATGACACCATGAATGCACTGCCATGCAGACATGTATTTGGCTTTCCTGCTTGACTCATCTGTCCTATCCTGTCTACAGGACTATCTATTTTCTTCTGTTTTAAATGTCCTATCACAAGTCTATGCTGACATGCTGCCAGCAGCAGCAGTTTAATAAACAACCAACAGTTGAACATGTGAAACAAGTCCTGTAACACCTTAATGTCAAAGAGCTCGTCAATGAAGCAAAGCTAGAAATGTTTACATTCTGTAAGACTTGGAACAGCCCTAATGAGCAGCAAAGGCAGATGCTGCCTGTGAGCTATTCACAGGCTTTGATGTTAACACTCTGGAGGAGGTGTCTTTAATAGCTCTCTCTCTCTCTCTCTCTCTCTCTCTCTCTCTCTCTCTCTCTCTCTCTCTCTCTCTCTCTCTCTCTCTCTCTCTCTCATAGGATGGAAATCAGGCCGTTGCTCATGTGCTTTGCCCTCTGCGTGGTCTATGCCACCAGTAAACCCACCGAGAAAAAGGAACGCATTCACCACGATGCACCTCTCAGCAGCCGCGAGCACGACGATGCTCAGGGCTTCGACTACGACCACGATGCCTTCCTGGGACAAAAGGAGGCCAAGTCTTTTGACGACCTCAGCCCAGAGGAGAGCAAGCGCAGGCTAGGGTGAGTAGGCTCAGGTCTCTGCCCGGCTGCGTCTCAATAGTCCAATGTGGCCACCTTTCCTCGGCTGTGTATCAATAGTATCAAGTTGAGGGTAGGGGTGTGACGGTAATTGAATGACCGTGTAGCTGACGATTATGGATGAAGAGCATCATGAAAATAAAACCGTTTAAACATTCATTTTAGGATTTAAAAAAATTGTATTAACATTATTTTCATGTAGATAAACCTTACCTAATAGCGGGAGTGTTTACTAATGATTATAAGCAAATGTTTTGTTAACTTTCTACATCTCCTCCTCTTTACAACGTTCCTTTGATGCTTGGGCAGCTAATTGCTTGATGAGCGGGATGTAGAGTGCTATAGGCTATGGCACTTCAGAAAAAAAATTGTTTGATGTGTGGACTTTCTTTTACACAATGCACGTTTTCATTGCTTGCTAGTAAATAATAAATCAGTCTTCTTTTTAAAAAGTTTGGATGTTTCTGACTATTCATTAATTACAACAAGGTTGTTCTGTCTCTGAGGCCTATAATGCGCTAATGTTGTGTGAAATGGACAATTCGCCAAGCCTTTCCAACCTGGCATGGTATAATTTGATACAGAATCTTTTCCTAAGTTATAGACTAATCAACGCTGATCAGGCCCGGTTCTGGCCGATATGCAGCCCTAAACGAGACCAAAAAAATTGCCGTCCTCCTATCCCGCAAAGTAGAATAGTAGCCTAGGCCCGCAATGCCCATGTGGTAGGCTACCGTTTGTAAAACAGGCAATTTACCTTTAATTCCTGTCATCTTGTTACATTAATTTCTGTTAATGCATGTATTAATTATAGTAATTTACCGTTTTCATTCTCATTCAACATTGTTTACACAGTTCATAACCTGCTACACTTGTGAGAAACAAGTTTTGGTTTATTTCATACCATCATTTACGCGCTCCATGTGAGCAATGAGCATGTGTCTGGTTTCTCTGACCTATTAATGTTGACAGAGAGCGTGCGCCTTAACACGCATAGAAGTACCTGGCCTGCTTCTCGCGAATGTCTAAAGTAGGAAAGTGCCCAGCTGGGCTTCTAAGTCATATTTTCTTCACCTCACACAGTAAGTCAACGAAGTCCATTATAATAGTTCCTCACAGTATTTGAAAAATCTTTCCAACACTCTCCCCCTCGATAATCAACGTCGCTGATCAATAGGCTATGGACATGTTGCGTGTATTTGTTTCTATTTTAATGATGGTCAATTTCATCTTCATTCTATAACATGTACAGTGGGGAAAAAAAGTATTTAGTCAGCCACCAATTGTGCAAGTTCTCCCACTTAAAAAGATGAGAGAGGCCTGTAATTTTCATCATAGGTACACGTCAACTATGACAGACAAATTGAGAATTTTTTTTCCAGAAAATCACATTGTAGGATTTTTAATGAATTTATTTGCAAATTATGGTGGAAAATAAGTATTTGGTCACCTACAAACAAGCAAGATTTCTGGCTCTCACAGACCTGTAACTTCTTCTTTAAGAGGCTCCTCTGTCCTCCACTCGTTACCTGTACTAATGGCACCTGTTTGAACTTGTTATCAGTATAAAAGACACCTGTCCACAACCTCAAACAGTCACACTCCAAACTCCACTATGGCCAAGACCAAAGAGCTGTCAAAGGACACCAGAAACAAAATTGTAGACCTGCACCAGGCTGGGAAGACTGAATCTGCAATAGGTAAGCAGCTTGGTTTGAAGAAATCAACTGTGGGAGCAATTATTAGGAAATGGAAGACATACAAGATCACTGATAATCTCCCTTGATCTGGGGCTCCACGCAAGATCTCACCCTGTGGGGTCAAAATGATCACAAGAACGGTGAGCAAAAATCCCAAAACCACACGGGGGGACCTAGTGAATGACCTGCTGAGAGCTGGGACCAAAGTAACAAAGCCTACCATCAGTAACACACTACGCCGCCAGGGACTCAAATCCTGCAGTGCAAGACGTGTCCCCCTGCTTAAGCCAGTACATGTCCAGGCCCGTCTGAAGTTTGCTAGAGTGCATTAGGATGATCCAGAAGACGATTGGGAGAATGTCATATGGTCAGATGAAACCAAAATAGAACTTTTTGGTAAAAACTCAACTCGTCGTGTTTGGAGGACAAAGAATGCTGAGTTGCATCCAAAGAACACCATACCTACTGTGAAGCATGGGGGTGGAAACATCATGCTTTGGGGCTGTTTTTCTGCAAAGGGACCAGGACGACTGATCCGTGTAAAGCAAAGAATGAATGGGGCCATGTATCGTGAGATTTTGAGTGAAAACCTCCTTCCATCAGCAAGGGCATTGAAGATGAAACGTGGCTGGGTCTTTCAGCATGACAATGATCCCAAACACACCGCCCGGGCAACGAAGGAGTGGCTTCGTAAGAAGCATTTCAAGGTCCTGGAGTGGCCTAGCCAGTCTCCAGATCTCAACCCCATAGAAAATCTTTGGAGGGAGTTGAAAGTCCGTGTTGCCCAGCGACAGCCCCAAAACATCACTGCTCTAGAGGAGATCTGCATGGATTAATGGGCCAAAATACCAGCAACAGTGTGTGAAAACCTTGTGAAGACTTACAGAAAACGTTTGACCTGTGTCATTGCCAACAAAGGGTATATAACAAAGTATTGAGAAACTTTTGTTATTGACCAAATACTTATTTTCCACCATATTTTGCAAATAAATTCATAACAAATCCTACAATGTGATTTTCTGGAAAAAAAAATCTCATTTTGTCTGTCATAGTTGACGTGTACCTATGATGAAAATTACAGGCCTCTCTCATCTTTTTAAGTGGGAGAACTTGCACAATTGGTGGCTGACTAAATACTTTTTTCCCCCACTGTATGTCCCCTTCATACTTTCATTGTCAATTAATTACACTACCGGTCAAAAGTTTTAGAACACCTACTCATTCAAGGGTTTTTCTTTATTTTTACTATTTTCTACATTGTACAATAATAGTGAAGACATCAAAACTATGACATACCACATATGGAATCATGTAGTAACCAAAAAAGTGTTAAACAAATCAACATTTATTTTATATTTGAGATTCTTCAAATAGCCACCCTTTGCCTTAATGACAGCTTTGCACACTCTTGGCATTCTCTCAACCAGCTTCATGAGGTAGTCACCTGGAATGCATTTCAATTAACAGGTGTGCCTTCTTAAAAGTTAATTTGTGGAATTGATTTCCTTCTTAATGCGTTTGAGCCAATCAGTTGTGTTGTGACAAGATAGGGGTGGAATACAGAAGATAACCCTATTTGGTAAAAGACCAAGTCCATACCATGGCAAGAACAGCTCAAATAAGCAAAGAGAAACGACAGTCCATCATTACTTTAAGACATGATGGTCAGTCAATCCGGAACATTTCAAGAACTTTGAAAGTTTCTTCAAGTGCAGTCGCAAAAACCATCAAGCACTATGATGAAACTGGCTCTTATGAGGACCGCCACAGGAATGGCAGACCCAGAGTTACCTCTGCAGCAGAGGATAAGTTCATTAAAGTTATCAGCCTCAGAAATTGCAGCCCAAATAAATGCTTCACAGAGTTCAAGTAACAGACACATCTCAACATCAACTGTTCAGAGGAGACTGCGTGAATCAGGCCTTCATGGTCGAATTGCTGCAAAGAAACCACTACTAAAGGACACCAATAAGAAGAAGAGACTGGCTTGGGCCAAGAAACACGAGCAATGGACATTAGACCGGTGGAAATTTGGTGTTTGGTCTGGAGTCCAAATTTGAGATTTTTGGTTCCAACCGCTGTGTCTTTGTGAGACGCGGTGTGGGTGAACGGATTATCTCCGCATGTGTATTTCCCACTGTAAAGCATGGAAGAGGTGTGATGGTGTAGGGGTGCTTTGCTGGTGACGGTGTCTGTGATTTATTTAGAATTCAAGGCACACCTCCAGGCTGGGTAAGGGCTATTTGACCAAGAAGGAGAGTGATGGAGTGCTGCATCAGATGACCTGGCCTCTACAATCCCCCGACCTCAACCCAATTGAGATAGTTTGGGATGAGTTTGACCGCAGAGTGAAGGAAAAGCAGCCAACAAGTGCTCAGCATATGTGGGAACATATGAAGAATATCAAATATAATATATATTTTTGATTTGTTTAACACTTTTTTGGTTACTACATGATTCCATATGTGTTATTTCATAGTTTTGATGTCTTCACTATTATTCTACAATGTATAAAGAATACAAAAATAAAGAAAAACCCTTGAATGAGTAGGTGTTCTAAAACATTTGACCGGTAGTGTATCTTATAGCCTACTCGCAGGAAAGCCTAGATATTTTATTATGTTTTAGTGAAAGGATAAATATTTGCTCTTGTGTCTGATGGTGGTTTTGATTGATGGGTACTTTTATGGGGGTGTGCATGTGTGAGCTCGCTGATTCTCTCTATAGGCCTAAATGTCCATTCAGAAGGTTTCCTAAAGTAGCCTGTCTGGACTCAATCTCTTTAATAAGAATCAAATGCTCCTGTCTTGATTTAATCTAGTAAAAGGCCTCGTTTCAGTAGCTTAGGCTACATTATTTCTCTCACTACGGCATCTTCTCGTTGAAGAAAATATGTCAATGCCACTGCCATCTAATGATCGCAGCAGAGTTTGTGACGTTATGCGAATAATTTGGGAAAAGTGGGAGTTAGTTTGAATGGTTTTGTGCGTCTAAATAGTATATGCAGAAAAGACAACAGACAAGGACAAGGTAGGCATTTCTCTTTATTTTGTCTCCGTTAATGTTGTGTCAATACAAAAATGTGACCGATCCTCTCCAACCTGGCATTTCTTAAGGTTTTTTTATTTAGTATTTTTTTGGGCCCTTTTGCTGTTACATGTACATTCTACACACATATTTTATATACATGGCACTTTTTTTTCTCACAGTAGGTACATAGCAAGAATAAAGTAATTTGATATACATTACATCTGGATAGATAGTACTTATACATCGTGTTCAGTCATAACTATTATAGAACATGAGATTTTAAATCCACCCCTCAGCTACTCTCAGTCCATCCCACCTATCTCCGTAAACCGCCCTCTTATGATTTCCATGTGCCATATATTTTTCAACTGTGCTGTGATGTTTCACGTCAATTCTGAACCTTTCTAATCGCATAGCATCTACAGATTATAAATTAAAGATAAATATTTTTACTAAATGTATTTTTATGTTGTTGATTGTTTGACTATGTCTTTCCAAATCTCCCAACAGTGCTTTTTGTAGGGTTCATTTTAGATAAATGTTGTGATTTTTCAGCTATTCCTGAACCTGTGACAAGAAACAAGCTACATACAGTGAGGGGAAAAGTATTTGATCTCCTGCTGATTTGGTACGTTTGCCCACTGACAAAGAAATGATCAGTCTGTCATTTTAATGGTAGGTTTATTTGAACAGTGAGAGACAGAATAACAACAAAAAAATCCAGAAAAACGCATGTCAAAAATGTTATCAATTGATTTGCATTTTAATGAGGGAAATAAGTATTTGACCCCCTCTCAATCAGAAAGATTTCTGGCTCCCAGGTGTCTTTTATACAGGTAAAGAGCTGAGATTAGGAGCACACTCTTAAAGGGAGTGCTCCTAATCTCAGTTTACATTTACATTTTAGTCATTTAGCAGACACTCTTATCCAGAGCGATTTACAGGAGCAATTAGGGTTAAGTGCCTTGCTTAAGGGCACATTGACAGATTTTTCACCTAGTCGGCTCGGGGATTAGAACCAGCGACCTTTCGGTTACTGGCACAACGCTCTTACCCGCTAAGCTACCTGCCACTTGTTACCTGTATAAAAGACACCTGTCCACAGAAGCAATCAATCAATCAGATTCCAAACTCTCCACCATGGCCAAGACCAAAGAGCTCTCCAAGGATGTCAAGGACAAGATTGTAGACCTACACAAGGCTGGAATGGGCTACAAGACCATCGCCAAGCAGCTTGGTGAGAAGGTGACAACAGTTGGTGCGATTATTCGCAAATGGAAGAAACACAAAATAACTGTCAATCTCCCTCGGCCTGGGGCTCCATGCAAGATCTCACCTCATGGAGTTGCAATGATCATGAGAACAGTGAGGAATCAGCCCAGAACTACACGGGAGGATCTTGTCAATGATCTTAAGGCAGCTGGGACCATAGTCACCAAGAAAACAATTGGTAATACACTACGCCGTGAAGGACTGAAATCCTGCAGCGCCCGCAAGGTCCCCCTGCTCAAGAAAGCACATATACAGGGCCGTCTGAAGTTTGCCAATGAACATCTGAATGATTCAGAGGAGAACTGAGTGAAAGTGTTGTGGTCAGATGAGACCAAAATCGAGCTCTTTGGCATCAACTCAACTCGCCGTGTTTGGAGGAGGAGGAATGCTGCCTGTGACCCCAAGAACACCATCCCCACTGTCAAACATGGAGGTGGAAACATTATGCTTTGGGGGTGTTTTTCTGCTAAGGGGACAGGACAACTTCACTGCATCAAAGGGACGATGGACGGGGCCATGTACCGTCAAATCTTGGGTGAGAACCTCCTTCCCTCAGCCAGGGCATTGAAAATGGGTCGTGGATGGGTATTCCAGCATGACAATGACCCAAAACACACAGCCAAGGCAACAAAGGAGTGTCTCAAGAAGAAGCACATTAAGGTCCTGGAGTGGCCTAGCCAGTCTCCAGACCTTAATCCCATAGAAAATCTGTGGAGGGAGCTGAAGGTTCGAGTTGCCAAACGTCATTCTCAAAACCTTAATGACTTGGAGAAGATCTGCAAAGAGGAGTGGAACAAAATCCCTCCTGAGATGTGTGCAAACCTGGTGGCCAACTACAAGAAACGTCTGACCTCTGTGATTGCCAACAAGGGTTTTGCCACCAAGTACTGAGTCATGTTTTGCAGAGGGGTCAAATACTTATTTCCCTCATTAAAATGCAAATCAATTTATAACATTTTTGACATGTGTTTTTCTGGATTTTGTTGTTGTTATTCTGTCTCTCACTGTTCAAAGAAACCTACCATTAAAATTATAGACTGATCATGTCTTTGTCGGTGGACAAACGTACAAAATCAGCAGGGGATCAAATAGTTTTTTCCCTCACTGTAGGGGCAATACCAAAATAAGTGATCTAATGATTCGTAGCAGAAGAGACAGAAAAATTAGTTTCTTAATTTGTTGATTAATATTTATAAGTAATAACCTGAATAATAATAATGAAATGACATGATAATAACAACGTGTAATGGCTTGTTTCAAGTAGGCTTTTATTAAGAAACATATCCATGTAAACAAGTGTACAAACAGAGTTTTGACCTCCCCTTTTCTGACCCCCTATCCCCTGAACGGTTATGTCGGTGACCGTGTACATTGGCCTTGACAATTACCGTTACCTCAAATTCCAAGACTGTCACAGCCCAAGTTGAGGGGCCAATCAGAGACTGTTCATGTAGTTCGCTACCTACAAGTTAACTGTATGATAACATGGCAGAGTAATATACATATAAAAGTACTCATTGCAATGTCAAACTGTCACTCATACAAGGAAGTATGTCCTCTTTTCAGTAAAAGTTAATCAATGTATAGAGTTGTTTGCCAGTAAATGGAGAGGAGGTAGAATTCCCCCTTTCCCATCATCAGATTAAAAGAATAGGCTGTCACTTTCACGTAGACTGTACTAGATCTTGGTGTTGACTGTTATTACATTGGTATTATAGTAAATATAGTTTGACCTCTTTTGAACTTAATTTTTTGTTTTTTAACAGTCTCTTTCTCGCTCTCTTGCTCTTCCCCTTTCTGAGACAGTGTGATTGTAGAGAAGATTGATGGTGACAGTGATGGTTTTGTCACTGAGGTGGAGCTGAAAGCTTGGATTAAGAAGGCTCAGAAGAAGTACATCTATGAGAACGTGGACCGCCAATGGAAGGACTTTGATGTCAACAATGACGGCATGATCTCCTGGGAGGAATACAGGAACGTAACTTATGGTACCTATCTGGGTAAGAAGGGCATGACGTGAGCATGCATGAGCATGAGCCCGGGAAATGCAGTTAGTCCAAAACATAAATGTGTTTGTTATGATTGATTGGATAGTTGCAGGGCCTTTAGTATTAGTTTCACTGATTGGATGATTTACCATATCAATTCAGGTCAGGGTGTATCACGTGGGATTAACTAGAGATCATAGCCGCTTCCCTTTGACCCAACAGATGACCCGGAACCAGATGATGGTAACAACTACCAGCACATGATGGCGAGGGACGAGAGGCGTTTCAAAATGGCCGATCAGAACGGAGACCAGATCGCCAACAAAGAGGAGTTCACCGCCTTCCTACACCCAGAGGAGTACGACCACATGAAGGACATAGTGGTGCTGGTATGTGTGTTTCATACTCTGTGTTCATTAGATTAAGAGGTATTTGGAAAAAATGAAACACAGGACCAGTGTTCACCGGTCGGCTCTCTAACCATCCTCCTCTTTCTCCTTGTTTACCCCACAGGAAACCATGGAGGACATTGATAAGAATGGTGATGGTTTCATTGACCTGAATGAATACATAGGTAAGGACTGAAGTGAACATACTCTGAGTATACAAAACATTATGAACACCTGCTCTTTCTGTGACATACATTGGGGGGGAAAAGTATGTTGGCAGCCACCAATTGTGCAAGTTCTCCCACTTAAAAAGATGAGAGAGGCCTGTAATTTTCATCATAGGTACACGTCAACTATGACAGACAAAATGAGGGGAAAAAATCCAGAAAAGCACATTGTAGGATTTTTAATGAATTTATTTGCAAATTATGGTGGAAAATAAGTATTTGGTCAATAACAAAAGTTTCTCAATACTTTGTTATAAACCCTTTGTTGGCAATGACACAGGTCAAACATTTTCTGTAAGTCTTCACAAGGCTTTCACACACTGTTGCTGGTATTTTGGCCCATTCCTCCATGCAGATCTCCTCTAGAGCAGTGACGTTTTGGGGCTGTCGCTGGGCAACACAGACTTTCAACTCCCTCCAAAGATTTTCTATGGGGTTGAGATCTGGAGACTGGCTAGGCCACTCCAGGACCTTGAAATGCTTCTTACGAAGCCACTCCTTCGTTGCCCGGGCGGTGTATTTGGGATAATTGTCATGCTGAAAGACCCAGCCACGTTTCATCTTCAATGCCCTTGCTGATGGAAGGAGGTTTTCACTCAAAATCTCACGATACATGGCCCCATTCATTCTTTCCTTTACACGGATCAGTCGTCCTGGTCTCTTTGCAGAAAAACAGCCCCAAAGCATGATGTTTCCACCCCCATGCTTCACAGTAGGTATGGTGTTCTTTGGATGCAACTCAGCATTCTTTGTCCTCCAAACACGACGAGTTGAGTTTTTACCAAAAAGTTCTATTTTGGTTTCATCTGACCATATGACATTCTCCCAATCCTCTTCTGGATCATCCAAATGCACTCTAGCAAACTTCAGACGGGCCTGGACATGTACTGGCTTAAGCAGGGGGACACGTCTGGCACTGCAGGATTTGAGTCCCTGGCGGCGTAGTGTGTTACTGATGGTAGGCTTTGTTACTTTGGTCCCAGCTCTCTGCAGGTCATTCACTAGGTCCCCCCGTGTGGTTCTGGGATTTTTGCTCACCGTTCTTGTGATCATTTTGACCCCACGGGGTGAGATCTTGCGTGGAGCCCCAGATCGAGGGAGATTATCAGTGGTCTTGTATGTCTTCCATTTCCTAATAATTGCTCCCACAATTGATTTCTTCAAACCAAGCTGCTTACCTATTGCAGATTCAGTCTTCCCAGCCTGGTGCAGGTCTACAATTTTGTTTCTGGTGTCCTTTGACAGCTCTTTGGTCTTGGCCATAGTGGAGTTTGGAGTGTGACTGTTTGAGGTTGTGGACAGGTGTCTTTTATACTGATAACAAGTTCAAACAGGTGCCATTAATACAGGTAACGAGTGGAGGACAGAGGAGCCTCTTAAAGAAGAATTTACAGGTCTGTGAGAGCCAGAAATCTTGCTTGTTTGTAGGTGACCAAATACTTATTTTCCACCATAATTTACAAATAAATTCAATACAATGTGATTTTCTCAATTTGTCTGTCATAGTTGAAAATTACAGGCCTCTCTCATCTTTTTAAGTGGGAGAACTTGCACAATTGGTGGGTGACTAAATACCTTTTTCCCCCACTGTAGACTGACCAGGTGAATCCAGGTGAAAGCTATGATTTCTTAAATCAAATGTTATTTGTCACATGTGCTGAATACAACTAGTGTAGACTTTACAGTGATATGCTTGCTTACGAACCTTTCCCAACGATGCAAAGTTTTAAAAATTATAATAAAATTAAAATAAAAAACAAACACAAGGAATAAAATAAAATACACAAGAATGGAGCTATATACAGGCAGTACCAGTACCAGATCAATGTGCAGAGGTACAAGGTACTTGAGGTAGATATGTACATGAAGGCAGGGTAATGTGACTAGGCCTTATTGATGTCACTTGATAAATCCACTTCAATCAGTGTAGATGAAGGGGAGGAAACAGGTTAAAGAAAGATTTTTAAGCCTTGAGACAATTGAGACATGGATTGTGTATGTGTGCCATTCAGAGGGTGAATGGGCAAGACACAAGATTGATGTGCCTTTGAACGCTGCTGGGTTTTTCACGCTCAACAGTTTCCTGTGTGTATCAAGGATGGTCCACCACCCAAAGGACATCCAGCCAACTTGACACAACTGTGGGAAGCATTGCAGAAGGTGTTCCTAATGTTTGGGATACTCAGTGTATAGTCACTTTATTCTGTGGTCCCCATTCAATAGATGTACAATATTGATGTTTCTACCTCCTCAGACACACTTTCATCCCCCTCTCCTTCGTTTCATAGGTGACATGTACAACCATGAAGATGAGATGGAGGAGCCAGACTGGGTTGCGACGGAGCGTGAGCAGTTCTCCGAGTTCCGGGACAAGAACAAAGACGGGAAGATGGATCGGGAGGAGACTATGGACTGGATCCTTCCTTCAGACTACGACCACGCAGAGGCCGAGGCCAAACACCTCGTCTACGAGTCTGACTCAAACAAGGTGAGACAATCTCTCGCTCTATTGGTTCTCATTCTATCTTTCTCCCCTTTTCCCTTTCTCTCTTTCACTCACAATGTCTGTCTGTTGAAGCATTCAAGTGACTAAATATCCTTTTTGTTTTTGCTTTCAGGATGGAAAGCTCAGCAAGGAAGAAATCCTGAACAAGTACGACCTGTTTGTAGGAAGTCAAGCAACTGACTTTGGCGAGGCGCTAGTACGGCATGATGAGTTTTAGATGATTTAGTCCTAGCTAGATAAAACCGTTTTAAACTTGATTTGATAAATGATAGAATTTATTTTGTACCAAACCTATTCATACACTACATTGTCTCCAATTAGTTTGTGGTGGATAGCACACAATAGTTGTGTGTGTTTATAGCCACTGACTTCCCAACACTTCATTTTGTTGTTCTGTTACATACATAGGTAGTTTCGATTGGTCATTATGTTTGAAATATGATGATATACTCAGAAGCACTGAATATTCCTTTTGGAGTTGTAATAATTTATACGTTTTCCACCAAATCCTTCATATGTGGTAATTATTTGGTGTTTTTTACTGTCATGTTTTGAATGACACTGATTGTAGTGATAGCCCATCATTTCTTAGTATAGTTAGTAGATGAGAGATGCTACCCAACGTTAGCCTCATACATTTCCTTTTACCCAGTGTGTGCCTTCTCAGAATAGTCTTTTGGGAGCTCAACCTATGAAGCTGACACTAAATATCAGTGGATCAGAGGGTCATGGGAACATGAGTCCACTACAGTGAAATCATCCCTCACCCTGCTCTGTTTCTCCATAAACACTCTGTTTGACCCCCTCTTCTTCATATGTACTGCATTTGTCTATCATGACTAGGGCCGTTATTACGATGTTACCAAGTTCATCACTGCTTCTGTCAATCACTGCCTCTCAATAGTCTACAGTGGCTTCCTCTCCTTCTCCCCTGTCAATCACTGCCTCTCAATAGTCTACAGTGGCATCCTCTCCTTCTCTCCTGTCAATCACTGCCTCTCAATAGTCTACAGTGGCTTCCTCTCCTTCTCTCCTGTCAATCACTGCCTCTCAATAGTCTACAGTGGCTTCCTCTCCTTCTCTCCTGTCAATCACTGCCTCTCAATAGTCTACAGTGGCTTCCTCTCCTTATCTCCTTGCCTTCATCTGCATTGATCTAGAAACAAATGATAGGTGAAAGAAATATGTTAGATGACCAATGTGAAACAAGAAAAGGAAACCATTTTGGACTATTGAGAAGCAGCACAAGTGTGAGAACGCATCTGTTGTTCTATTGGTTAGAAATAAGAGCGGTTGTACTTCCTTCCTATGGGGCATGCTGAACTGAAAGGTTGGTCCATTGCAGCATTGTTACTGAATTCCCCTTGCTCAAAATAGTATTTACATACTCGGCAAGTGTTTATTTTCTGGATTTATGCACAGAATGTATGGACATTCATATTTTGGATGAAATGCTATACTTTGGATTCCACAGCCCATTTCTCAATAAAAAAACTTATTGTAAACTTATTTGTTGAAGTTTGAGCCTCAGTGCACATCTTCTTTCACGAGTTTGTATGTGTGGTTGTGTTTGTGTAAATGATTTTGTTAAGACATCCAGTAAATGGTGTGTGGTTGAAATAAAACACTGTCCACCACTGTGTTTTAAAAGTGCATTGTAATACAATATAAATCTTTATTTACCTTAGATATGTTACAATAAATCAACATGATGAGTATTTCATGAAGGAGTAGATTCAATAAACCCTATTTGCCCTGAACTCACAATTTCAAAAAAGTGTTAGGGAACCTTAGATGGTTTATTGAATCCACCCCAAGACCCCCCCCCCCCCCCCCCCCCCCCCCCTCCATACCGGAGATACAAAAATAAAAGTGCTAAACTAATGTTTTTTCATTTTTTTCATGCATTGCTATTTTTGGACTGCAGCTTTGGTAAGCTAATATATGCCATCAGACAGGTTCGGTCAGTATTCAGAATGAAATGTACATGATTCATAACTTTCTTAAACAGGGTGCGATTTGAGAGAGAGAGAGAGAGAGAGAGAGAGAGAGAGAAGAGAGAGAGAGAGAGAGAGAGAGAGAGAGAGAGAGAGAGAGAGGAGGAGAAAATAACCCCCTTCTTTTTGGCTCTTATGGTGTCCTAATAAAATGGCCAACAATACCACCGCAAAGCCTATACAAATCGCACACTAATTATAATAAGAATAATACTATGGAGTTTGGAGAAGTTCTCTGAGAGTAGGACCTTCCTGGTATGAAGCAGTGGAGGTAAGGGGTAGTCAGGTCTTGGCTGTTGGGGATGGGCTCCTGAGACCAGCGTCACAGCTTATGCTGTGGAGACCTCAGTCTTGGAGGCTGAAACTGAAGTCTCCTCAATCTGCTTTCCAAACACAGTCTCCATGATGCAGGCGTTGAACTGAGGAGGGAGAAGTAGATTTATATGACAGAGAATGAACATGATAAGGTTGTGTGTTCTGTTCTGACTCACCTCTGATGTGCTTAATTTCTGAGTGTTTGTCAATGACAGTGTGTGTGTGCGACTATGTCGGTGTATATCTATGCATTTGGGGGTTATAGACTCACCTGTTTGTTCATGAAGGCATAAATGAGAGGGTTGTATACACAGGAGCTTTTAGAGAAGAAAGCAGGGATGGTGACCAGGCGGTAGTCTTTGTTCTCCTCTGTTGAATAGGCAAAGTACAAGGCTGCCAGGGCGTAGGGGCCGTAACACAGAATGAAGGAGCACACCATCACAATCACCATCCTGGATACTTCCTTCTCTGCCTTCTGGGTGGAAACTGACTCAGCCTGCGCAGCTGCCACCTACACATACACACACAGGACAAGCTGGTCACGTCTGGGTTCCAAATAATAATAATAATAATATGCCATTTAGCAGATGCTTTTATCCAAAGCGACTTACAGTCATGCGTGCATACATTTTTTGTGTATGGGTGGTCCCGGGGATCGAACCCACTACCTTGGCGTTACAAGCGCGGTGCTCTACCAGCTGAGCTACAGAGGACCACGTCATGACTATTCTGTACTATGTTTTGTTTTTGTTTGTTTTTTTACCGAGAAAGCATTGTACTCACAGCCCGTAGTGCTCCCAGTAGCTGGGAGTAGGAGAAGAAGATGATGATCATGGGCAAGATGAAACAGGTCACCATGAGGAAGTTGGTGTAGCTGGCACAGTGGAACTCCTCGTTGTTTGTGTACCAGTCAGGTCCACAGGAGCAGCCCAGACCCTCAGGTATATACCTGTAAAACAAATCCCTTACTGTAACTGAAGCCCCACACAGTGTCTGTCTGCAGGGTTTCACCCTTGCCTATATCAATCAGCGACTTATCTAGACTTGGAAAGCAGCGAGCGATGCAGACTTTGAAGCCAATTAGTGACATTAATTGCAAACTCAGAACCTTACAAGTGTACGGCAAAACTTCGAATTTGAACTCATTTTAGGATATTTACCATTTTCCCCATCCCCTGTGTGCAATGTGAACCAAATAGCCTAATAGTAGCCAAATACAAATAGTATTTATTCATCAAAACTACACTGAACAAAAATATAAACGCAACATGTAAAGTGTTGGTCCCATGTTTCATGAGCTGAAATTCATGAGCATTTCTCCTTTGCCAAGATAATCCATCCACCTGACAGGTGTGGCATATCAATAAGCTGATTAAACAGCATGATCATTACACAGCTGCACCTTGTAAAAGGCCACTCTAAAATGTGCCATTTTGTCACACAACACAATGCCACAGATGTCTCAAGTTTTGAGGGAGTGCACAATTAGCATGCTGACTGCAGGAATGTCCACCAGAGCTATTGCAAGATCATTTCATGTTCATTGCTCCAACATAACGTTGTTTTAGATCATTTGGCAGTATGTCCAACCGGCCTCACAACCGCAGACCGTGTGGGCAGCGGTTTGCTGATGTCAATGTTGTGAACAGAGTGCCCCAAGGTGGCGGTGGGGTTAGGGTATGGGCAGGCATAAGCTACAGACAACAAACACAATAGCATTTTATCAATGGCAATTTAAATGCACAGAGATACCGTGACAAGATCCTGAGGCCCATTGTCGTGCCATCACCATAATGCATGGCCCCATGCTGCAAGGATCTGTACACAATTCCTGGAAGCTGAGAATGTCCCAGTTCTTCCATGGCCTGTATGCTCACCAGACATGTCACCCATTGAGCCTGTTTGGGACGCTCTGGATCAACGTGTACGATAGCGTGTTCCAGTTCCCACCAATATCCAGCACTTTTGCACAGCCATTGAAGAGGAGCGTGACAACATTCCACAGGCCACAATCAACAGCCTGATCAACTCTATGTGAAGGAGATGTATCGCGCTGCATGAGGCAAATGGTGGTCACACCAGATACTGACTGGTTTTCTGATCCATGCCCCTACCTTTTTTTAAAGGTATCTGTGACCAACAGATGCATATCTGTATTCACTGTCATGTGAAATTCATAGATTAGGGGCTAATGAATTTATTTCAATTGACTGATTTCCTTATATGAAATGTAACTCAGTAAAATTTTTGAAATTGTTGCATGTTGCATTTATATTTTTGTTCAGTATATAATACAGTACAAGATCAAAGTGGGTGTGAGAGGCTGGGGATCAGTACCTGCTCCAGCCGAAGAATGGTGGGGTGGCACATCCGATCCCCATGACCCAGGTGAAGGCAACAGCCGCCAGAGCCTGGTTGTTGTCAAATTTGAAGGTGCCGAAGGGTTTGCAGATGACCACGTATCTTTCAAAGGCAAGGACAGCCAGGGACCAAGCTGACACCAACCCTGAGGAAGAGAGAAGGAGACATCAAAGACATCAAACACAAGAACTTTGCAAATAGTTTGCATGCATATAATCAGAAAGGTAAAATGAATCACTAAAGTTGTTGTTGCTTTTTTTGTTCTTATGATGATGTTTGAATTTACCTGCTATTGAACCCATGCAAGATTCCATTGCACACAAGGTGTGACCCATGAAGAAGTATCCTCTCGTACTAGCGATGAACACCTGACTCACAGAGAACGTCACAAAGATGAAACCTGCTAACGAGACATTGACCAGAATGTAGTTCAACGGTTGTCTCAGCTTCTTGTACTTCACTGTCACCAGGAGAATTACAAAGTTTAGGGGTGTTCCAGCAAAGAACACAAAGCCCATGAAAGCGGTCTGTAGGTAGAAAGCCCATGCTGGGGCCAGGTGATACTGTGGCCCCTCGAATGGGCTGATCTTAGAGATGTTTTCGTACAGATAGAAGTCCTTTGCCATTTTGGCTCCTCTCTGCATCTGAACACTACCCGTACGTCCCTGAGATGTGCACTGCCATACTGGAAGTCTCCCTTTTATACGACCATAAACCACGTATAAACCTCTTATAAATGATGTCAGGAACAAGCTTCTCCTGTGGATCTTCCTGATCTTGTTGGTGGAAGAATAAACTTTAGGATTAAGCTGCCCCTGTGACAGTGACCTTCTGCCAGAAGAGATCTTACTTTGTTGGGCGCAGTAATCCACCTTAAAAGAGCCAGTGAGAAAGAATGGAATTCAGAAGAATAATTGAATTTATAGCAAAGACATGCTGTTTTTGTTGGTGCGGACAGTGCTAGGATAGAAAGCATCACCATACTTTTGGAGTTTGTAAAGTATAACACTGATTCAAGCTAGGCTGTGTTAGCTGCTCTTATGAGGAGGTAACTTCCTTATCCAGTTCCCATTCATCTTTGCGGGACATTAACCTTCCTCCGAACAAAACCCAGGGGGTGCGGGAAGGGGATGTTGCGAACAGGGTTAGAAAAAACAAGCTGACTGGGCAGTGGCACTCACCTTCACAATGTTTGGAAAACCCACTTTAACAATTAATTATGTTAAATGTTAATCCATCAACACATTAACTCATTCATTACAGATTCTAAGCAAACCTAGAGAGCCTTGCTCCCGTTGTCTACCTTTCTACAGGGAAGCTCTTGCACACTGAGCATTTTGCACAATCTTACATTTAAAAGTCACATTCAGGTCTAAATGTACCAATTGGCATCAAGATGTAGCTTGCATGGAACAAAAAAGGAGGGCCATATAACAAATAGCAGGTAGGTTAGAGAGCAACCTGAGGGCTTCCAGTTTGAATCCCCAATGAAAAATCTGGCCCTTGAGCAAGGCATTTAACCCTCAAACTGCGCCTTGGATTACACTATCTGAATTGATGACCTTTGACGAGGGACAGAGAGTACGGTTTAGAGTTAGAAATAAACTTTGATCGGGTGAAAATGGAAAGCTTACGACTATCCGGCAGCAAGCCAATTAGAGCACCATCAGCCCCCATACACCCCACCCCCCTCGTCCATTCCTCCCTCCTTCACTGGAAAGGGTGTCTAGTAGGTTTCTGAGAGTTGACATCAGGTTGAATTCTGATCATCATACCTCACTAACAAAGAATATGTTTTCACTACCATGATTCTTCTCTGAGCAGGACATGGATATTCAGAACATTTTGTATATTTTTCCTCTTCACGATATTATAGCATATATTGTCAGGGATGGCAGCCGTTACTGTCTTTTTGCAATAACTCATGCAGACACACCAATAGGCAAACATACTGTACTCTCATGACACCATCCCACTGTGTAAACATGGAAAAGTGTTCCCCATCTTATTGATTTACTTGATCAACTGTATTCTATAGTAGTTGGACTTATTTTTTAAACTCATACATGGTCATGGCTAACAGGTACAGCTAATGTTAGCTACATAAGATGCTAAGTTTGTTGTCAGTGGCCCTTTCCCTGAACCCTTTCTTCCATCAACCTGCTGCCTGGTGCCTGCCATGTATATTACGGTAGATCGCTTGACATTGTGGTCTTAAAATGCCACAATACAGGGATGAGCCTTAATCTGGAAACAAGAATTACCTGAGATGTACCTGGCCAATCCTTAAAATCTCTGCAAACTGCAGGGATGTAACATGGGATTAGGATCAAACTACAGGATCATCCCTTTAGCCACAGATTGTGAGGTCAAATGACTAATTTGAGGAAGGATCAAGGGTGGGTTTACTGGTAAATCTCCCTACTCCTCCTCACCGCACCCCCCGTCCTCCTTTTTATACACCTGCACACAGTCAGCCTATCCTCTTTTCCAAGGAACCTTTTCCTCTTCCATCCTCCTCCTCTGTCCTCCTCTGCTCTCTCATGTATTTTCAGATTAGTGCTACTCTGGTTAAGTTTAAGGCAGTAGGGACCAGCTAGATTGATCTAGTGTTGATATAGTTTTTGCTTGTAAACCAGAGCTTCTTCCAATTTACCAGCAGCAATAAAGGTATGCTTTTTCCATTTCCAGTATTTTTGTATGGGTGAGTAGGCTTGTTTAACAGACTATATTTCAGCTTAGCATATGGGTAGGTCGTTTTAATTTTAGGTATATTGATCAGCTTTAAGGAGAAATCTCAGTTGACAATACTTAATTGACTGAGATTGGATCTTTGGAAAAATGTACAGTGAGGGAAAAAAGTATTTGATCCCCTACTGATTTTGTACATTTGCCCACTGACAAAGACATGATCAGTCTATAATTTTAATGGTAGGTTTATTTGAACAGTGAGAGACAGAATAACAACAAAATAAATCCAGAAAAACGCATGTCAAAAATGTTATAAATTGATTTGAATTTTAATGAGGGAAAAAAGTATTTGACCCCTCTGCAAAACATGACTTAGTACTTGGTGGCAAAACCCTTGTTGGCAATCACAGAGGTCAGACCTTTCTTGTAGTTGGCCACCAGGTTTGCACACATCTCAGGAGGGATTTTGTCCCACTCCTCTTTGCAGATCTTCTCCAAGTCATTAAGGTTTCGAGGCTGACGTTTGGCAACTCGAACCTTCAGCTCCCTCCACAGATTTTCTATGGGATTAAGGTCTGGAGACTGGCAAGGCCACTCCAGGACCTTAATGTGCTTCTTCTTGAGCCACTCCTTTGTTGCCTTGGCCGTGTGTTTTGGGTCATTGTCATGCTGGAATACCCATCCACGACCCATTTTCAATGCCCTGGCTGAGGGAAGGAGGTTCTCACCCAAGATTTGACGGTACATGGCCCCGTCCATCGTCCCTTTGATTCGGTGAAGTTGTCCTGTTCCCTTAGCAGAAAAACACCCCCAAAGCATAATGTTTCCACCTCCATGTTTGACGGTGGGGATGGTGTTCCTGGGGTCATAGGCAGCATTCCTCCTCCTCCAAACACGGCGAGTTGAGTTGATGCCAAAGAGCTCCATTTTGGTCTCACCTGACCACAACACTTTCACCCAGTTCTCCTCTGAATCATTCAGATGTTCATTGCCAAACTTCAGACGGCCCTGTATATGTGCTTTCTTGAGCAGGGGGACCTTGCGGGCGCTGCAGGATTTCAGTCCTTCACGGCGTAGTGTGTTACCAATTGTTTTCTTGGTGACTATGGTCTCAGCTGCCTTGAGATGATTGACAAGATCTTCCCGTGTAGGGCTGATTCCTCATCGTTCTCATGATCATTGCAACTCCACGAGGTGAGATCTCGCATGGAGCCCCAGGCCGGGGGAGATTGACAGTTATTTTGTGTTTCTTCAATTTGCGAATAATCGCACCAACTGTTGTCACCTTCTCACCAAGCTGCTTGGCGATGGTCTTGTAGCCCATTCGAGCCTTGTGTAGGTCTACAATCTTGTCCCTGACATCCTTGGAGAGCTCTTTGGTCTTGGCCAAGGTGGAGAGTTTGGAATCTGATTGATTGATTTCTTCTGTGGACAGGTGTCTTTTATACAGGTAACAAGCTGAGATTAGGAGCACCCTTTAAGAGTGTGCTCCTAATCTCAGGTCGTTACCTGTATAAAAGACACCTGGGAGCCAGAAATCTTTCTGATTGAGAGGGGGTCAAATACTTATTTCCCTCATTAAAATGCAAATCAATTTATAACATTTTTGACATGTGTTTTTCTGGATGTTTTTGTTGTTATTCTGTCTCTCACTGTTCAAATATACCTACCATTAAAATTATAGACTGATCATTTCTTTGTCAGTGGGCAAACGTACAAAATCAGCAGGGGATCAGATACTTTTTTCCCTCACTGTATATAACTTTTAGCATTAAAAAGGATTTGATATAGTTTGACACTAATGACAAACAAAATGGTGTTTGTACTGTACAGCAAACCGAAGTGCATTCATTTATTTTTTCCTCAAACTAGGTGAAGATGAAGGACCACTACAGTCCTTCAAGATACATGGTCAAGAAAAGATGGAGAGCGAGTGAGAGAATGGTGCAAGATAGATATTATCCCCAGACTCAGGGTTGTATCATAACCAAGCTGTATGGTTTAGAGGTATGGGGATAATACGACCTGGGTTTGGCGGTGGTCTGCTGCTGCCTTCAAAAAGAGGATGCTAACACCAATGACTCTCTGAGTATTTGGCGTGTATTTTCTTCCCTTTTACTTTTCCTTTCCATTTGCCAAGAGAAGAATGTAATAGCAGCCAAAAAAGATTTTTTTTAACAGCTGTAAATTGCTTAAAATGACACTCTTGACTTTTGTATTTTGTGTTTTGTGACAAAAGTATCCTCCAAAAAGTGATCCACAAAATAAACTGAATGGAACGACCCTTGTACTTCTGTCCACTCTGCCCTTGGGAGATAATGACCAATAGAAACGCATCCATTTGAAAACCCTTAGATTAGCAGTTGTTGGGGTTGGTGACACCAGTGGGATCTACCTGGTACAGCCAGAAGAGGACTGGCCACCAAGTTTTTCCTAGCCACTGTGCTTCTGCCTCTGCATTGCTTGCTCTTTGGGGTTTTAGCCTGGGTATCTATAAAGCACTTTTTGACAACTGCTGATTTAAAAAAGGGATTTATGAAATAAATGTAATCTTGTGAAGTAACAGCATAATGATCCTAAAGGGGTAAACCACACCCTCTTGGTGCGCCAGGCAAGCTAAATCAAGTGCACCTAAGAGTTGCTCTTTTAAAATATAGTGATGCTTTAATCAAAGCTTTCACACACAGGCTTCTAAAAGTATGTGGACACCCCTTAAAATGAGTGGATTCAGCTATTTCAGCCACACCCATTGCTGACAGGTGTATAATCTCCATAGACAAACATTGTCAATAGAATGGCCTTACTGAAGAGCTCAGTGACTTTCAACGTGGCACCGTCATAGGATGCCACCTTTCCAACAAGTCAGTTCGTCAGATTTCTGCCCTGCTAGAGCTGCCCATGTCAACTGTAAGTGCTGTTAATTTGAAGTGGAAACGTCTTGGAGCAACAACGGCTCAGCCGCAAAGTGGTAGATCACCATGCACAATGCCAAGTGTCGGCTGGAGTGGTGTAAAGCTCGCCGCCATTGGACTCTGGAGCAGTGGAAATGCATTCTCTGGAGTGATGAATCACGCTTCACCATCTGGCAGTCTGACAGACAAATCTGGGTTTGGCTGATGCCAGGAGAACACTACCTGCCCGAATGCATAGTGCCAACTGTAAAGTTTGGTGGAGGAGGAATAATGGTCTGGGGCTGTTTTTCATGATTCAGGCTAGGCCCCCTAGTTCCAGTGAAGGGAAATCTTAACGCTACAGCATACAATGACATTTTAGACGATTCTGTGCTTCCAACTTTGTGGCAACAGTTTGGGGAAGGCCCTTTCCTGTTTCATGACAATTCCCCCGTGCACAAAGCGAGGTCCATACAGAAATGGTTTGTCAAGAACTTGACTGGCCTGCAAAGAGCCCTAACCTCAACCCCAATGAACACCTTTGGGATGAATTGGAATGCTGAGTGCGAGCCAGGCCTAATCACCCAACATCAGTGCCCGACATCACTATTGCTCTTGTGGCTGAATGGAAGCAAGTCCCCGCAGCAATGTTCCAACATCTAATAATAACAATAATAATATGCCATTTAGCAGACACTTTTATCCAAAGCGACTTACAGTCATGTGCACATACATTTTTACGTATGGGTGGTCCTGGGGATTGAACCCACTACCCTGGTATTACAAGCGCTATGCTCTACCAATTGAGCTACAGAGGACCACGTCTTGTGGAAAGCCTTCTCAGAAGAGTGAAGGCTGTTACAGCAGCAAAGGGAGGACCATCTCCATATTAATGCCCATGGTTTTGGAATGAGATGTTCGACAAGCAGGTGTCCACATACCTTTGGTATTGTAGTGTACTTACACCCATGAAGCATCTATAGTGCCAGGAGTTTTTCTAACCATGTGACCTGACCAGGAAAAACTTGGGGTCCAATGTCTCCTTTGCATCAGGTTACTCTCCTGCAGGGCAACTATTGACAACTGCTTGGAAGACGCAAACCTGTAATGAGCCACTATCTGGTGCGATTGCTGTAAGCGGTTTTCAACCTTTTTTGGTTACTATAATCACATTTCGCTCAGTCTGAACTGAAGTAACCCCTCATGTTCCTCTGATAAGTAAGCAAATGTTATTATGCATATTCCCAAACACCCCCTGTGGATAGGCAGGTAGGTACCCCTAGGGGTACTCCTAGCACAGATTAATAGGTATTTTTGGTACTAGTACCCCAATTTGAGAACAACTATTGTAAATCATGCACTTTGCTGACATCTAGAGGTCTTTCAGTGTATATTGGAGTTCTCTTACAAAAACATGTACATACCGCCTAGCTACATAGTTATACATTGTAACCATACATTTAATTAAATTGATATGGTGTTTCTCGTTTTTACTGCTTGTTTTACAATAACATAAAAGAGACCCGCCCACTGTGTCCCTCGAATATGTGAAGTACAGCCTTTAGTTCCTGTATCTGTATTTCTAGACGGGGGCGTTTGTCGGCAACACACACGGGGAACCTGTGTGCAATTGAGATGGCGGTCGGAACAGCGAGCACAAGGAACGAATAAATATTACCCTGTCTAAACATAAACTGTGGAACTTGTAGCGCCTTCGCAGTTACCCTAAACTACAACCCGCAACGTAGCATAGCGCTATGGAGAAACCGACAGTTGCACTTGTGTATCAAGCTGTGCAGGCTCTTTATCATGATCCGGACCCCGCCGGTAAAGAGCGAGCCTCGGTGTGGCTGGGGGAGCTACAGAGATCGGTAAGTGAACTCGAGAGATGGGGGGGGACTTGGAATGGGCCTAGAACTAGACATGGCTAGGCAGGTCGTGTGAGGCCGAAAACAAAACATTGCATCAGAATGCGTAATACCATGGTGATATAAAAACATGTATTTGTGTATGCTAAACCAACAACGAATGAATGAGCATATAATCACACGCTAGCTAACAACACACTCTGCATAGTATTAGTTAGTTAGCTATCTACCAAACTAGATTGACTAAGCTAACTAACTAGTTAGCATTAGCAACACCGTTCCATTTTTCTACTAGCCTGCTAGTAACTGTCAAGTGGAAACGGGGTTAAATCTATGGGGATTTCTAGGTGCAACGAAGATAATAAAGGCAAACATTCGCTAGCTTTCTCTCGCGTGTAGTCATCATAAACAATCCATGGTGTTTGAAATGCTAGCTAGTTAGCCACACATAGCAGATAACTAGTTAACAACAATGTATTGCTAGCTAGTTGTTTAGTTAGCTACTGTAGTTAGCTACTGTAGTTGGCTAGCTACTGTAGTTGGCTAGGGACGGTTATCTTTACATAATTAGTAGCTCGTGCTAATGACAGTAACGTTAGCCGGCCATAGCACAGGAAGAGCGCGAGGCGAGGGTGGCTACCTAGCTAGCGTCCAATACTTGCTAGCAAAGTATTGGACGTGATGTCTTGCTAGAAAACGTTAGCTAGCGAGATAACGATATTGCCAGGGATGCTTTTGCTTTGAGGTAGTTAACGAACGTTAACTTGGCAAGCTACACTAACAACTTCCATTTATGTTGATAATGTGTAAATGGTATGTGCCACTTAAAGTTGTTTGCTGTTGGTTAGGGTTAATGTTAGCCGTTTTATTATTTCCGCATTTGTTTGTTTTTTCCTCCGGTGGTCCTGCATCGGTCTGGTTTCCGCATATTCATTGGTTACTACTTCCTTAACTCCTGCAGGAAATGCAATCATTGTCTGTCATCGGACAATCAATGATTGAAATACGGCACACCTACATGTTGCTGCTACGTATTCCTACCAACTTTAACTTATTTTTGTGATAATTTCTATAATAGATGGCCCGCAGGTTGCATTGAGAGACACAGCCTTAGGGTAACTGGATTCAAAACCGCTATTTCTCCCCACTATCATGCAATTCCCACAGAAAGGCCTCACAAAGCCATGTATTGATTCCCTAAGAAAAAATGCAATGTCGCATAACGTTTTAAAACACGTTAGACTGTGACACCAGCAACTTCCTAAATTTGCTGGCACTTGGGGATCTGAACGGTCTAATTTGGGAGAGCAGGAGCCATCTGAGTGATGAACGCAGTGTGTGCTCTGTGCTGTCAGCAGCTTTTTCACCCAGGCTGCCAGGACATACTGGACACTGATGGACAAATGGGGGAGGGGCTTGGCTGTTTCAATTTGCAATATAAATTCTCATACACACTTTACCAGGTTTTACTTTACAGTCCTTATACCATACTCCAGAATATCTAACAGCTGACCAACTGTTGGTTAAGGCAACAAGCCCTCTATCAAGGCAGCTAGCTACAGACACCTGATGGTGTTGCATAGGAAGGATATCAGATTTGGCCTACTGTATTTGTAAATAGGCCTACTCCCTTTGGGTCTTTGCGTGTATAGGGTGGTTTTGAAATCATTTGAGTGGGTTGGGACGCAGACCTGAGAATGTAAGCATAGTGATCCATTTACTAGGGATGAAGGGCATTTCAAAAAATGTTGACTGTTGGAGTACTCACATAATTTTTTCCCCATAGACCTCGAATAGGAAAAAATAATTATATATATATTTAAAATACACAAAAAAATATGTTCACATTTTTCTGTAGGCCTATTCCAACAGTGCGCAACAATGCCTAATTTATCATAACCATACAGATAACAAATCCTAATTGCTAAATTGCCCCATATATATTCAGTCAATTTAAAAGCAAGGTAAGTTATTGAAGCCTTAATATCAACTGATTATATTATATTGTGGAACACAATCTTCAAAAAGACAGTAACCTCAGCAGTGGCGCGTGCTTGTAGAAGCCTATGGTTGTGCAATGGCATAGCCTTGCTTTGTTAATTTAGCAGACAAGACACTTATTTCCCGAGCCCTTATCACAGTCAAGACACCTATTTTATAGTAAAAAAATATATATAACAGAATAAAATATAACCCAATGATTATCCAAATGGAAAAAAGTTGGCAGTGCGACTAAGTGATGCGTATCTCAAGTCTGGAACGGTTATTCTCAGTGATAATTTGAAACAGGGCTCAATTTGGCGAGTTGAAATACCATTTTTTCCCCAGGGTTACAAACCAAAATCCGTCTTTTCAATATACAGACGTTCGATTTAGTTTATTCTGCCTGTTCTTTGGAATTTTCTAAATGGATTAAAAATTCCACATTGAACACTGCATGGTGTTGAATTACGGCCATGACATCTGTTTTGTGAGTAGGCCTATGCTTAATTATTCTAATGAAAATATGCTCTGTCTTTATCAAACCAATACGTTTGTGTATTTTCAGTGTGGAACCTGTCTGTTTAGGGGGTTATAGCCTAGGCTAATGGAGTGGATGAACATGCACAGGTAGCCAACTTTTTGAAGTAATTTTTTTGACAATCGGATGAAAACATCATGACTGATTAGGCCCATCATTTAGTTATTTTTAGGGGCCTAATAGTAAAGACATGCCATTTTAACGCAATAAATGTATTACCCTTTAATGTGGCATGAATCTGATTGTCAAACAAATCACTTCAAAAAGTAGGCTACCTGTGCATGTTTGTCCACTCCAAAATAATTCCATCTAAAACAGTGCACTGTGAGACCATTTGATATATGGAAAGAGACATCTGTTACAAAACACCAAAAAGTGTGATTGTCATTTGGTGTACATTCTTGTATCCTGAATCAATTGATGCGTCTCGCTGACAAAGGGACCTTTTTTGTAGAAAGAAATGTCGGGACACCTGAAAAGGGGCTGATATACTGGACTGTCCCGGGATGACAAGTGAAGCAACATGGGGGGGGGGGGGGGGGGGGGATTGTTTAAAACCATGACATGTAGCAGTTTTTTTTTTTTGGGTTTAATTTGGAATAAGCTTTCATTTTCATATTTACCACTGTAGCAGTTACACATTAATTTTAACAACTGGGAAAATTGTTAAATTAGCATTATTAGAATTTGACTTTTGCTGCATTTTGGGGGGCTCATCTCTCATTCAGGGTGGTTGCGCGCCCCCCCCTCCCCAAGCTGGTAATTCTGACAATGTTTTCAAACCACAAGCAAAAACAACACACGGCTACGCCTTCTTATCCTCATTCATATAACTAACAAAAAGAGTATACAAAAAGGAATGAGTCCTACAAGCAGCAATGTGCCTCCTTTCCATCCTGTTTGGTCAGTTGATTGTTCCTAGGGATCCTTTACAGACCATTTAGGTGTATAGGCCTATGTGTGTAAAATTACCGGATTTACCAGTATCCCTGTTTTTCACGTCCCTTGTTCCGGTAACCTTCCTGTCTGAATAAAGTTAATGGTGGCGCTAACTGTTCTCCCCCTGTCCCCACAGATGTACGCGTGGGAGATGGCAGACCAGCTCCTCCAGCTGAAACAGGACGTGGAGTCTTGTTACTTTGCCGCCCAGACCATGAAGATGAAGATCCAGACTTCGTTCTTTGAGCTCCCCCCAGAGACCCACATCGCCCTCCGAGACTCCCTGCTCTCACACATACAGAGCCTCAAAGACCTCTCCCCCATCATCGTCACCCAGGTAATGGCCTCCCCGCCCATTGATGTAACCTAGGGTAACGCCCCTCCCATCCAATTATTGTCCATCAGGTGTCAGTCTCTTTGTCACAGTGACCACTGAAACTCCAAGAACGACTTGGATTTCTGTCTGTAGCCTTTATGCTCCTAGAATGCACTCTAGGAATGTCCCACTGCCCATCTAAATGTCCCATAGGCTTAGCAATGCACATGGCACAGTAGCAACTCTAGCATTTACCCCAATGTACCACTACCACTACAGAGGAGTAGCTGTGGTACAATTTAACAAGTACAATATTACGTGGCATTAAGATACTCTAATCCTTACAAGTTCTTCCTGGTTTCTTGTCTCATTTCTTTCCTCCCTCTCTCAGCTCGCTCTGGCCATTGCAGACCTCGCCCTACAGATGGCCTCCTGGAAGGGCTGTGTCCACACCCTCATTGAAAAGTAAGGCCCCTCCCATTACCACTCAACCATCCATCTCGGATCACACCTGTGGATAACAAATGCAAGAGTTACATGATATTAGACCGTTGTAGGTGGTTCTATAAAGTCGAATGCCATTGCGTTGGTATGTTTGAGGTGACATTAAAGCTTCAAATACATCTCCTTCATGCTAATTTTCTCATAACTGCCTGCTGCCATCTCTCTCCTCCACTCTCCTTGCCTCTCTCCCTGACTCCTCTCTCTCTCTCTCTCGCTCTCGCTCTCTCTCAGGTATAGCAATGACGTCAGCTCCATGATGTTTCTGATAGAGATCCTTACAGTGCTCCCCGAGGAGGTCCACAGCCGCTCCCTTCGCATCGGAGCCAATCGCAGGACAGAGATTATCGAGGACCTGGCCTATTACTCCAGTACTGTGGTCACTCTACTGGTGAGATTTGTCTCTCTCTGGCCGACACACACACTATCCATTCATCTTTCTCTCGCCAACACTCTCACAGACTAGCCTATTTTACCCACCTGATTAAGCTGGTCTAAACTAGAGCACCCGCCACCACTCCCCCTTACTGGATAAGCAGACCTCCCATGGGTTCATCCTCTCATTATAAAACTCTGGGGTGTACATCCTCATTATCACACAGCTATTCAACTACTACCACTACCTTAGAGGGACAAACCAAACCACTCACTTTGTAGTATATTTTTCTCTGCAGAATGTCCAAGTTTGACTGTAGATGTTTTTGAGGATTAAGCATGAGAATGTAGGAGTTGTCCTCCCAAAACCAACAGAAAATAGATTAGCTATACTGTTTGTGTTGAGGGTTACCTCAACCTACAATCAACAATTTGCCTTGAATCAATATTGATAACACCTGTCGTGACTCCTGTTGTTTCGTTGGGTGAACTTCCTCGTGCATTTGGCTTCAGACACAGCATTGGGGTTTTGATAAGGGTCAGTGTTGTTGATAGCGCGTGTGTGTTGTCTCTCTGTCTCCAGGTGACGTGTGTGGAGAAGTCTGGCAGCAATGAGAAGATGCTGATCAAGGTGTTCCGCTGTCTGGGCAGCTGGTTCAACCTGGGAGTCCTGGACAGCAACTTTATGGCCAACAACCAGCTCCTCATGGTCCTTTTCCAAGTGCTGGTATGCCTCTGTCTGTCTCTCTTTCTCTTGCTCTCTCATCTAATTTTGGAAGCACAAATAAACAGTGCTAGTGACAAACATCCCCAAAAAGACTAACAACTTTTAGAATACTCCCAAAGTCTCTCAATATTATAGCAGAATTCGTTCCAAACCCTTATTTGTGCAACAACCATGGGGGGGGGGGGGGGGGGGGGCAGGGCGGCAGGGCAATAATTTATGCAGTTTAGAATGCTAATCGCTTGTATACATAATGCATGAGTTTCAGCCATGGAACATCTCTTTGACATACTGTTCTTTTTTGTCTCTGTTTGGCAGCAGAGAGACGAGACGTCCACTAACCTTCACGAGGCTGCGTCCGACTGCGTGTGTTCAGCGTTGTATGCCATCGAGAACGTGGACACACACATGTCCCTGGCCCTGCAGCTCTTCCAGGGCGTCCTCACGCTGGAGACGGCCTACCACATGGCTGTGGCACGGGAGGACCTCGACAAGTACGAACACACACACGCCTACTCCCCTTTTCATACATACACCAAGATCACCTATCCAGTCACCGCATCACCACACCCCTTCTCCCACTCCTTCCTGCCCCAAACCTATCCTTCCTCTCCATTGCTCATGATGTTGAACTCTTCTGACTCTTCTCCACACTGTCCTCTGTGTGGAAGAAAATAATACCTTTTATCCTCAACTCTCTCCTTCTCCCTTGTTCTGTCAGAGTGTTGAATTACTGTAGGATCTTCACTGAGTTGTGTGAAACGTTTCTGGAGACCACAGTCAGGAGTCCAGGCCAGGGCATGGGAGACCTGCGGACGCTTGAGCTACTGCTCATCTGTGCAGGACACCCCCAATATGAGGTACACAACATATGATAGACACTCAGACACACACACACTGTCGCTTTGGGTGGATTTCAAGTGTGTGTGTTCTCTTCTGGTGCATCTCAGGTTGTGGAGATCTCCTTTAACTTCTGGTATCGTCTGGGAGAGCACTTGTATAAGACCAACGACCCTGCCCTCCACGGCATCTTCAGACCCTACATCCAGAGACTGCTGCACGGCCTGGCCCGCCACTGCCAACTAGACCCTGACCACGTAAGGACCACCCACCACATGACAAGGAGTCCTTAACCAACTCCAATGATGCCAACCATACTCCCAATACTCTTACAGTGAGGGAAAAAAGTATTTGATCCCCTGTTGATTTTGTACGTTTGCCCACTGACAAAGAAATGATCAGTCTATAATTTTAATGGTAGGTTTATTTGAACAGTGAGAGACAGAATAACAACAAAAAAATCCAGAAAAACGCATGTCAAAAATGTTATAAATTTATTTGCATTTTAATGTAGTATTTGACCCCTCTGCAAAACATGACTTAGTACTTGGTGGCAAAACCCTTGTTGGCAATCACAGAGGTCAGACGTTTCTTGTAGTTGGCCACCAGGTTTGAACACATCTCAGGAGGGATTCTGTTCCACTCCTCTTTGCAGATCTTCTCCAAGTCATTAAGGTTCCGAGCCTGACGTTTGGCAACTCGAACCTTCAGCTCCCTCCACAGATTTTCTATGGGATTAAGGTCTGGAGACTGGCTAGGCCACTCCAGGACCTTAATGTGCTTCTTCTTTTGCCACTCCTTTGTTGCCTTGGCCGTGTGTTTTGGGTCATTGTCATGCTGGAATACCCATCCACGACCCATTTTCAATGCCCTGGCTGAGGGAAGGAGGTTCTCACCCAAGATTTGACGGTACATGGCCCCGTCCATCGTCCCTTTGATGCGGTGAAGTTGTCCTGTCCCCTTAGCAGAAAAACACCCCCAAAGCATAATGTTTCAACCTCCATGTTTGATGGTCATTAAGTCTCCCGAGTGGCGCAGTGGTCTAAGGCACTGCATCGCAGTGCTAGCTGTGCCACTAGAGATCCTGGTTCGAATCCAGGCTCTGTCGTAGCCGGCCATGACCGGGAGACCCATGGGGCGGCGCACAATTGGCCCAGCGTCGTCCAGGGTAGGGGAGGGAATGGCCGGCAGGGATGTAGCTCAGTTGGTAGAGCATGGCGTTTGCAACGCCAGGGTTGTGGGTTCAATTCCCACGGGGGGCCAGTATGAAAAATATAATGTATGCACTCACTAACTGTAAGTCGCTCTGGATAAGAGCGTCTGCTAAATGACTAAAATGTAAATGTAAATGATGGTGTTCTTGGGGTCATAGGCAGCATTCCTCCTCCTCCAAACACGGCGAGTTGAGTTGATGCCAAAGAGCTCGATTTTGGTCTCATCTGACCACAACACTTTCACCCAGTTCTCCTCTGAATCATTCAGATGTTCATTGGCAAACTTCAGACGGCCCTGTATATGTGCTTTCTTGAGCAGGGGGACCTTGCGGGCGCTGCAGGATTTCAGTCCTTCACGGCGTAGTGTGTTACCAATTGTTTTCTTGGTGACTGGTCCCAGCTGCCTTGAGATCATTGACAAGATTCTCCCGTGTAGTTCTGGGCTGATTCCTCACCGTTCTCATGATCATTGCAACTCCACGAGGTGAGATCTTGCATGGAGCCCCATGCAGAGAAAGATTGACACTTATTTTGTGTTTCTTCCATTTGCGAATAATCGCACCAACTGTTGTCACCTTCTCACCAAGCTGCTTGGCGATGGTCTTGTAGCCCATTCCAGCCTTGTGTAGGTCTACAATCTTGTCCCTGACATCCTTGGAGAGCTCTTTGGTCTTGGCCATGGTGGAGAGTTTGGAATCTGATTGATTGATTGCTTCTGTGGACAGGTCTTTTATACAGGTAACAAGATGAGATTAGGAGCACTCCCTTTAAGAATGTACTCCTAATCTCAGCTCATTACCTGTATAAAAGACACCTGGGAGACAGAAATCTTTCTGATTGAGAGGGGGTCAAATACTTATTTCCCTCATTAAAATGCAAATCAATTTATAACATTTTTGACATGCGTTTTTCTGGATTTTGTTGTTGTTATTCTGTCTCTCACTGTTCAAATAAACCTAATATTAAAATTATAGACTGATCATTTCTTTGTCAGTGGGCAAACATACAAAATCAGCAGGGGATCAAATACTTTTTTCCCTCACTGTATGTCATATCTGATTGTAGAATCCCTTAACCATGTGCACATATTACCAAGTAGTTCAGTACATGTAGCTCAGTTGGTAGAGCATGGCGCTTGCAACGCCAGGGTTGTGGGTTCAATTCCCATTGGGGGCCAGTGTGAAAAATGTATGCACTCACTAACTGTAAGTCGCTCTGGATAAGAGCGTCTGCTAAATGACTAAATGGAATTGTACATCATTTAGCTTTGGCACTACTATATCATTCACTCACGGTCTCATCTTTTGTGTTGATCCACAGGAGGGCATCCCAGAAGATACAGATGACTTTGGGGAGTTCAGGATGAGGGTGTCTGATCTTGTGAAGGATGTAATTTTCCTTGTGGGCTCCATGGAATGTTTCTCCCAGGTAGCTACCTTCACCAAATGCAAATTCAAATGATGTCATTAAGATGACAAACTATACCGACTGCCTTCTCTTTTTTTTTTCTCGCTCTCTCAGTTGTACTCCACTCTAAAAGAAGGGAACCCTCCCTGGGAGGTGACTGAGGCTGTTCTCTTCATCATGGCCGCCATCGCCAAGAGTGTAGACCCGTGAGTGTCCTCTATTCATTTTATTAATGAGAAATAATGTGCAATGACTAAATCCCTTCCTCACCGTGTAGAATGTGTACAACTACTTGTAGATTTGTATATCCTCCCACCGGGGTGTTTGTGTGTAACATGTTAATGCTTTCCCAGTGAGAACAACCCCACCCTGACGGAGGTGTTGGAGCAGGTGGTGCTGCTGCCAGAGACGGTCCATATCGCCGTGCGCTACACCAGCATTGAGCTGGTGGGGGAGATGAGCGAGGTTGTTGACCGCAACCCGCGGTTCCTCGGTAGGTTCAGTGGTCACGTTACGGTCAATAGCTTAGCTTGGGAACTGAGTGATTGAGTTCCTCAATTTAGAGGTTCATCTTCATCTGTGCGTTTTGAGCACATCTCTATTTCCTTGTAGTTATTTTTCAATTTCTTGTTCCTTCCTGTGTCAAATGCCCGCGTCACTCTGTTTTGTTACGTCCCTGCTGCGTTATGAATGTGTGTCTCTGTGCATATGTCTCGCTGTGTCTCTGTTGGCTGTATACTTTGGTTGTGTGTATGACCTTAGCCCCGCTCTATGTCGCAGACCCCGTGCTGAACTACCTGATGAAGGGCCTGAGGGAGAAGACCCTGGCTTCCGTGGCGGCCAAGGCCATCCATAACATCTGCTCTGTGTGTCGGGACCACATGGCCCAGCACTTCCAGGGCCTGCTGGACATCGCCCGTGCCCTCGACTCCTTCGCCCTGACCACCGAAGCCGCCGTAGGCCTCCTCAAAGGTAACTTAATGCCACCCTTAAGTATTTTTATGGGGTAGGTCAGCTTTAATGTTACAGATAGATTGTGGCTTCTATCATTGTAATTGTCTGCATCATTTTCAATCCCCCATATTTTTTTTGTGTATCTATATTATTTTCCCCTAACCCTACCACCCCTCCCGTAATTGGAGTAAACTAATGGACAACCATACTTAGGCTTCTACTTCCAGCTTATACCTACTATATACATTTTACGGACACAATATATTTTACATTGCTTATCTTTTGTTTTGTTTTTAGTCCCATCCATCAGTTACCCTCAACCCCTCCCATCTATCTCTTGAAGACCATCCAGTTTTTATTTCTAGCTACCATATATTTTTCTGCTGTGATGTTTCACAAAATTTCTGAACCTTTCTATTCTTATAGTTTCTACAGATTCTAAATTAAAGATGAACACCTTTGCTAAGAGTATTATTATATTATTGATCGATTGACTAAGACTTTTCAAATCGCCCAGCAGTGCTATTTGCAGAGTTGGCTTCAGGTAAATGTTGGAATTTTTCAACCATTCCTGAACCTGCGACCAAAAACAAGCTACACATGGGCAGTACCAAAACAAGTGATCTAATGATTCTGTTTCTTCACAGCAAAATCTGCAGAGCTGGGATGGTTGTCTCCTCTCTCGTATACAGTTGAAGTCAGAAGTTTACATACACCTTGGCCAAATACATTTAAACTCAGTTTTTCACAATTCCTGACATTTAATCCTAGTAAAAATGTCCTGTCTTAGGTCAGTTAGGATCACCACTTTATTTTAAGAATGTGAAATGTCAGAATAATAGTAGTTATTTATTTCAGCTTTTATTTCTTTCATCACATTCCCAGTGGGTCAGAAGTTTACATACACTCAATTAGTATTTGGTAGCATTGCCTTTAAATTGTTTAACTTGGGTCAAACGTTTCGGGTAGCCTTCCACAAGCTTCCCACAATAAGTTGGGTGAATTTTGGCCCATTCCTCCTGACAGAGCTGGTGTAACTGAGTCAGGTTTGTAGGCCTCCTTGCTCGCACACACTTTTTCAGTTCTGCCCACACATTTTCTATAGGATTGAGGTCAGGGCTTTGTGATGGCAACTCCAATACCTTGACTTTGTTGTCTTTAAGCCATTTTGGCACAACTTTGGAAGTATGCTTGTGGTCATTGTCCATTTGGAAGACCCATTTGCGACCAAGCTTTAACTTCCTGACTGATGTCTTGAGATGTTGCTTCAATATATCCACATACTTTTCCTTCCTCATGATGGCATCTATTTGTGAAGTGCACCAGTCCCTCCTGCAGCAAAGCACCCCCACAGCATGATGCTGCCACCCCTGTGCTTCACGGTTGGGATGGTGTTCTTCGGCTTGCAAGCTCCCCCCTTTTTCCTCCAAACATAACGATGGTCATTATGGCCAAACAGTTCTATTTTTGTTTCATCAGACCAGAGGACATTTCTCCAAAAAGTACGATCTTTCTCCCTATGTGGTTGGAAACCGTAGTCTGGCTTTTTTATGGGGGTTTTGGAGCAGTGGCTTCTTCCTTGCTGAGCGGCCTTTCAGGTTATGTCGATATAGGACTCGTTTTACTGTGGATATAGATACTTTTGTACCTGTTTCCTCCAGCATCTTCACAAGGTCCTTTGCTGTTGTTCTGGGATGGATTTGCGCATTTCGTACAAAAGTCTGTTCATCTCTAGGAGACACAACATGTCTCCTTCCTGTGCGGTATGACTGCTGCGTGGTCCCATGGTGTTTATACTTGCGTACTATTGTTTGTACAGATGAACGTGGTACCTTCAGGCGTTTGGAAATTGCTCCCAAGGATGAACCAGACTTTATTTTCTGAGGTCTTGGCTGATATCTTTTGATTTCCCATGATGTCAAGCAAAGAGGCACTGAGTTTGAAGGTAGGCCTTGAAATACATCCACAGGTACACCTCCAATTGACTCAAATGATGTCAATTAGCCTATCAGAAGCTTCTAAAGCCATGACATCATTTTCTGGAATTTTCCAAGCTGTTTAAAGGCACAGTCAACTTAGTGTATGTAAACTTCTGACCCACTGGAATTGTGATACAGTGAAATAATCTGTCTGTAAACAATTGTTTGAAAAATTACTTGTGTCATGCACAAAGTAGATGTCCTAACCGACTTGCCAAAACTATACTTTGTTAACAAGACATTTGTGGAGTGGTTGAAAAATGAGTTTTAATGACTCCAACCTAAGTGTATGTAAACTTCTGACTTCAACTCTGTATGTGTGTGTATATAATATATATATATATATATATATATATATATATATATATATATATATATATATATATATATATATCATTGTTTTCAAGAATTGTGTAATTTAAATTTAAATATTAGATGTTTTTAATCCGGCAAATCTCCCAACTATTTTGCAACCTGTATGGCGCAGCTGTACATTTTTTGGGTCCAATTTTGGTCTTTAATGTAGGGCCGACAGACAAGTCCCGTGCCTTCTCCACCTTCCACTTGCCTCCTCCATTTTTACAATAGCTGCAATCCGTTGGATGTGATTTTGGTTAGAGAAGACATTTCGATATATTTTTGTTAATTTCAAGTGTGACAACTTCACCAGTCCTAGTTATATCATTTAGAACGATTATACTGTTTTACATTTTTTTTTCAAAAACATTTTTTAAAATCAATTTAGTATATTTGAGTTTAACCATAATATTTGTTGTAATATTTGTTCTGTCTTTTCTGTTGGATGAAACTGAAATTGCAACCAGCTTTCTATGTCTTGTTTTAAAAATAACCGAAAGTGAGAGGTTGTAATCTGAATGAAGAGAAAAAGGCCATTCTAGGACACTGGGTGAGCCATTCTTAGTAATCTGCTAGAGAACCAGTTCGGATATAATTATAGTTTTTTGTATGACTGAAGCCTTAAGTGAGAGGTCCAATGCTTTAGTAATTCCTGCCCTCCGAATTCATACTCATTATATAAATAGGCCCATTCCAAAAACAGTGGAATAATAAAAAATAAAATAAAAGTTGTTGAGTGTAGGCAGGGCCATAACTCAATAGGAAAAGTGTGATATGACTAAATAATTAGACAGGTGTTGTCCTTTCCATGGTAGCAAGATCTTATCTAATTTGGGTGACTTTATATTAAAATGTATTGAAGTGAGATCATTTATTTATTTTGGATATGAATACCAAGTATTTCCACTTCACCGTCGGACCATTGTATTGGTAAACTACACAGTAATGTAAAAGTTGTATTTTTTGTGTGATTTTAATACGTAATATGGTGCACATACAGTGGGGGGAAAAAAGTATTTAGTCAGCCACCAATTGTGCAAGTTCTCCCACTTAAAAAGATGAGAGAGGCCTGTAATTTTCATCATAGGTACACGTCAACTATGACCGACAAATTGAGATTTTTTTTCTCCAGAAAATCACATTGTAGGATTTTTAATGAATTTATTAGCAAATTATGGTTGCTCTGTCACCATGGTAACGCTGGTTGTTTTGCCCTGCAGGGACAGCCCTGGTCCTGGCTCGTTTGCCCCTGGAGAAGATTGCTGAGTGTTTGAGTGACCTGTGTGCTGTGCAGGTCATGGCCCTCAAAAAGGTGTTTTTTTTATTCTGCCATTTGTTTGTGTGGAAGTTTGGTTGTAGGTTATGTGTGTATGAGGTACCTCGGTAGAAGTGTGTAACCCACTACAATAGTGTAACAGTTTTGTGGATTGGGTAGTTGTAAGTCGCTCTGGATAAGAGCGTCTGCTAAATGACTAAAATGTAAATGTAAAATACCAACAGGTTTGCTTATGTTTGTCTCCAATTTTCAGCTTCTCTCTCAGGACCCCAGCAATGGGAAAGCCGCTGACCCCACTGTCTGGCTGGACAGACTAGCAGTCATCTTCCGGTAAACTCAACCCATTTATAATACGTTATACTGTATATACATATCCTGATTGCACAGGTCATTAACTGTTTTATGTAACTATACTGATATGATGATTTGGGCTGATTGTTTATTTTAAGCAGACATTTTAATCATAATGTTTCCCCCCCCCCCCCCCCCCCCCCCCCCAGACACACAAATCCCATCGTAGAAAATGGACAGACACACCCATGTCAGAAAGTCATCCAGGAGGTAAAGCAACTGGCAGTCTACATTTTTTAGCAATTTTTTGTATTTGGACAAGGCTACCATTGCATACAACCTGCTTTGTTCAATCCATTAATTGGACTGCGTTTTAATGGGACTCAAATGAGACTATTTTGGTGCTCAACTACCCTGATTCTTCTCTCCCTTGCAGATTTGAACTTCAACTTGAGGCCTTGATTGCGTACAGTCATTCCCACAGCTTCTCATGCTAAACCTATATTGGGTGTTTTCTTGGTTCTCTGTAGATCTGGCCGGTCCTATCAGAGACTCTAAACACACACCAGGCTGATAACCGCATCGTGGAGCGCTGCTGTCGCTGCCTGCGGTTCGCTGTGCGCTGCGTGGGCAAGGGCTCTGCCTCTCTACTACAGCCACTAGTCACACAGGTGTGTGTCCCTGTGTTTGGGTCACGATAAGCCCCATATACAGATAGATAAATCTTGGTTGGAGTCTGTTATATGTGTATACAAATTCCATCGCCACCAGGTGCTTGTTGAGCCCATGGCAGCTGGTGACTGATGGCAAAGTTAGGCTAAATGTGTAAAGTATAGGGTTGTAAAATTCCAGCAACTTTTCTAAACTCCTGGGTTGAAGGATTCCCTGGTTTCCTGATTATACCCTCCTGAATCTAGATTATTGGGAATTTGTGGAAATTTACTGGAATTTTGCAACCCTAGTACAGGTCTTTAACAGAATGTGTGTATTGTTTCAGATGGTCAGCAGGACTCGACATTAACCTTGTCTGCTTGCCCATGGCAAGTAAAAAAATTAATAATATTGTTGGACAAGCAGATAACAGATTCAAGTTGTCCGAATGGACAAGTAAAAAAAATTAAGCCAAAATCGCAATATCAAACAATTAGGTTACTCCGATCATAGTTGGATCAGTTTCCTCCGGATGCGATGTTTTGCTCACTGTCCACCCAATCTCTGCAGAGCGCATCGGAGTACAGTATAATTATTGTAGGCCTGCATTTACAGGCAAAGCGGTCTTTCAATCATGCAGTCGCGAGATGCGTTTTTGAGATCAAAGCAAGCCCGCGTTTGCACATTTGTTGATAATAATTGCTAGTGAGTTATTTGCCCGCTTATAGCAATTTTTTGGTCAGCAATAAGAATCCTGGAAAAGTCATGGTGTGCATCACGTGTGTGTGTGCCAGTGGGCGGTTGCCAGACGAGAGAGGGAGGGAGAGCGAGACTGAGAGACATTTGAGCATCAGGTAAAAATAATGATATGCAAAAGACTAACTAGATAACCAGCCAAACTACACTATGTTTAGAATTTGAATCTCGCTAGTTAACTATTTAACTATTGGCATGAATGAAATGTCATGTCCGACGTCCTAAAATAACTTTCCACCGGCACTCATGTATAACCGCAAATGGCCAACACGCATTTGATATGGGTGCGCAGTTGATGAAATCAATGCTGCATACTCCGGTTGTAAAACCGTCTCTTAAGCGATCAAAATTGGCTAGGATTCTCCTCTATTCAATACTGGCCATGTAATTCTGACAAAGTTAACAAATATTCTTAGCATAGCCTAATTGACAAGTAACTCATGCTGTCAAGATCTCCCCTGAACACTGAATATTTTAACATTACAAATAGATAAACTTCTTAGTTGGCTACCTCGCCCACCATAACCATTTAATCCCTGGTTCATTGAATGAGGGAATTGTTTTATAAAGACATAAAGTATTTGGTTGTAATTGTAATGTTGCAGGGTGGCCAACCCTTGTCCAGGAGAGCTACTGGGTGTGCAGGCTTTTGCTCCAGCCCTGCTCGAACACACCACATTGCTCAACAGGACCTTGATAAGCTGACTGGTGTGTGAGCAGGGTTGGCTAAAAAGCCTGCACACCCAGTAGTTCTCCAGATGGAGGGTTGACGGACCACATGTGTTTTATACAGTAGCCTATCAGTGCAGTATTTTACTTTGTGGGGGGTTAAGTGCCTTGCTCAAGGCCACAACTGCAGGAGATATAATACATGAGATCAGAGACCAGCAGCCTTCCATTGTCAATACCAGTGATGATGATGAATTTTATTTTGTGAAGTGGTTCCTTGCATCATACAACACCATTTTCAGTCACCTTTTTGGCTCATGGTGTTTGATCTTTTTTTTTTGTGTGGGTGGGGACGGGCGGACAAGTGACTTGAGCTTTCAGACATGTAAAGATTCAGTCCCAGAAGTTCATGTTAAGCCCTGGTCAGTGTGTACCAGGTGTAAAGATGTTGTGTTTCAGATGGTCAGTGTGTATCAGGTGTGAAGATGTTAAATGTGTGGTGTTTCAGATGGTCAGTGTGTACCAGGTGTATCCCCACTCCTGCTTCCTGTATCTGGGCAGCATCCTGGTGGATGAGTACGGCATGGAGGAAGGCTGCAGACAAGGTCTACTGGACATGCTACAGGTAGGGGAAACACACACACCACTTTCATAGGTACTCATAGTTCACGAGAGTGGCAGTGGAACTCTGGTTGTTTGCGATTGGTTTTGAACTGACTTTGTCCCTTCTCTCTCCCCGTAGGCTCTGTGTATGCCCACCTTCCAGCTATTGGAGCAGTCCAACGGTCTCCGTAACCACCCAGACACAGTAGACGACCTCTTCAGACTCGCCACCAGGTATGATCAACTGCAACACAGTTTAGACAGTTTCTCCTCTTCCTTTAAATAATAAGTTCACTTACTTTTAAGTGGCAAGAATAAAAACTAACCATTGCTGGGGACCTGACAGGCATACTTGTTTTACAGCATTCAGGTTATTAAGAAGAGTATCTCTCTCTGCTATGACCTTCTCTCTCTTTCTTCCCGTCTCTCTCTCGCTGCTTCTCTCTGCAGGTTTGTCCAGCGTAGTCCCGTCACCCTGCTCAGCAGTGGCATCATCGTCCACATCATCCAGTGTGCCATCGCGGCCACCACACTGGACCACCGGGACGCCAACTGCAGCGTCATGAAATTCGTCAGAGACCTCATCCACACGGGCGTCATCAACGACGTGAGTCACCCCCAACAAACAGTCAATCTAATGTTGGCTATTAAAATCAGATCCAACAATAATATCAAGGGATTAGAAATCCGGGGCTTAAAAACAAAGGTGTCATTGTACGCTGATGATTCATGTTTTCTTTTAAATCCACAACTTGGATCCCTCCACAGCCTCAGAGGATCTAGATAATTTTTCTAACCTCTCTGGATTACAACCAAATTATGATAAGTGTACTATATGTATTGGATCACTAAAAAACACAACTTTTACATTACAGTGTAAAATAAAAATGGTCTGATGGTGATGTGGGTATACATATCCCAAAATAAATGATCTCACTGCAATACCTTTTTTTATAGAAAGTTAGCAAAAATAGATAAGATCTTGCTACCATGGAAAGGTCTATTTGTGGAAAAATCACCGTGATTAACTCTTTAGTAATATCCCAGTTTACCTATTTGCTTATGGTCTTGCCTACACCTAGCGAACTGTTTTAAAAAAATTACATGAGAAAAAGATTACATTTTATTTGGAACGGCAAGCCAGACAAAATTAAACGGGCCTATTTATATAATGAATATGAATTCGGAGGACATAAATTATTAAATATTAAAGCATTAGACCTATCACTAAAAGCTTCAGTCATACACAAGTTATACTTAAATCCGAACTGGTTCTCTAGAAAATTAGTAAGATTGTCTCACCCAAGGTTCAAGAATGTCCTTTTTCCCTTTATTCAGATTACAACCTCTCACTTTCAGTTATTTGAAAAGGAAATCATCTCCCAAATATCGCTACTTTTAAACAAGCCATAGAAAGTTGGTTGCAATTTCAATTTAATCCTCCAGAAAGGATAGAACAAATAATGCAACAAATATTGTGGTTAAACTCAAATATACTAATTGATAAAGAAACCCATTATTTTTTGAAAAAAGTTTAAAAAGAGGTTTAATCTTCGTAAATGATATCATCGGTAGGACTGGTGGAGTTGTCGCACATGCAGCTAACAAAAACATATGGAAATGTCTGCTCTACCCAAAATTACAACCAAATACATTTACATTTTAGTCATTTAGCAGACGCTCTTATCCAGAGCGACTTACAGTTAGTGAATATATATATATATATATATATATATATATATATATATATATATATATATATATATATATATATATATATATATATATATATATATATATATACACACACACAGTGGGGAAAAAAAGTATTTGGTCAGCCACCAATTGTGCAAGTTCTCCCACTTAAAAAGATGAGAGAGGCCTGTAATTTTCATCATAGGTACACGTCAACTATGACAGACAAAATGAGATTTTTTTTCCCAGAAAATCACATTGTAGGATTTTTAATGAATTTATTTGCAAATTATGGTGGAAAATAAGTATTTGGTCAATAACAAAAGTTTTGTCAATACTTTGTTATATACCCTTTGTTGGCAATGACACAGGTCAAACGTTTTCTGTAAGTCTTCACAAGGTTTTCACACACTGTTGCTGGTATTTTGGCCCATTCCTCCATGCAGATCTCCTCTAGAGCAGTGATGTTTTGGGGCTGTCGCTGGGCAACACGGACTTTCAACTCCCTCCAAAGATTTTCTATGGGGTTGAGATCTGGAGACTGGCTAGGCCACTCCAGGACCTTGAAATGCTTCTTACGAAGCCACTCCTTCGTTGCCCGGGCGGTGTGTTTGGGATCATTGTCATGCTGAAAGACCCAGCCACGTTTCATCTTCAATGCCCTTGCTGATGGAAGGAGGTTTTCACTCAAAATCTCACGATACCTGGCCCCATTCATTCTTTCCTTTACACGGATCAGTCGTCCTGGTCCCTTTGCAGAAAAACAGCCCCAAAGCATGATGTTTCCACCCCCATGCTTCACAGTAGGTATGGTGTTCTTTGGATGCAACTCAGCATTCTTTGTCCTCCAAACACGACGAGTTGAGTTTTTACCAAAAAGTTATATTTTGGTTTCATCTGACCATATGACATTCTCCCAATCCTCTTCTGGATCATCCAAATGCACTCTAGCAAACTTCAGACGGGCCTGGACATGTACTGGCTTAAGCAGGGGGACACGTCTGGCACTGCAGGATTTGAGTCCCTGGCGGCGTAGTGTGTTACTGATGGTAGGCTTTGTTACTTTGGTCCCAGCTCTCTGCAGGTCATTCACTAGGTCCCCCCGTGTGGTTCTGGGATTTTTGCTCACCGTTCTTGTGATCATTTTGACCCCACGGGGTGAGATCTTGCGTGGAGCCCCAGATCGAGGGAGATTATCAGTGGTCTTGTATGTCTTCCATTTCCTAATAATTGCTCCCACAGTTGATTTCTTCAAACCAAGCTGCTTACCTATTGCAGATTCAGTCTTCCCAGCCTGGTGCAGGTCTACAATTTTGTTTCTGGTGTCCTTTGACAGCTCTTTGGTCTTGGCCATAGTGGAGTTTGGAGTGTGACTGTTTGAGGTTGTGGACAGGTGTCTTTTATACTGATAACAAGTTCAAACAGGTGCCATTAATACAGGTAACGAGTGGAGGACAGAGGAGCCTCTTAAAGAAGAAGTTACAGGTCTGTGAGAGCCAGAAATCTTGCTTGTTTCTAGGTGACCAAATACTTATTTTCCACCATAATTTGCAAATAAATTCATTAAAAATCCTACAATGTGATTTTCTGGATTTTTTTTTCTCAATTTGTCTGTCATAGTTGACTTGTACCTATGATGAAAATTACAGGCCTCTCTCATCTTTTTAAGTGGGAGAACTTGCACAATTGGTGGCTGACTAAATACTTTTTTCCCCCACTGTGTGTATGTGTATATATATATATATATATATATATTTTATTTTTTTTATACTGGCCCCCCGTGGGAATTGAACCCACAACCCTGGCGTTGCAAACACCATGCTCTATCAACTGAGCTACATCCCTGCCGGCCATTCCCTCCCCTACCCTGGACGACGCTGGGCCAATTGTGCGCCGCCCGTGAGTCTCCCGGTCGCGGCCGGCTGCGACAGAGCCTGGATTTGAACCAGGATCTCTAGTGGCACAGTTAGCACTGCGATGCAGTGCCTTAGACCACTGCGCCACTCAGGAGTACCATTACAGCATTACCGCAAAAATCAAAGAGGAATGTGGAATGGGGAAAAAGTAAGGAACTTGTCTGTCGGCCCTGCATTAAAGACCATAATTGGTTAAAGAAAATTGTGATAAATGAAAAAGTATATCAGTTTCATTTAAGGACCAAAAAATTGACAGCCGTGCCATATAGATTGCAAAATAGTTGGGAAGATATTTTTTGCGCACCGATTCCATGGCACATGGTTTATGAACTGATACGCAAAACGACGCCGGATTCAAATCTTAGAATCTTTCAATTTAAATTATTATACAACATTCTTGCAATCAATATAATTATTTATATGGGGGATACAACCTTCCCAGCTCTACAGATTTTGCTGCAAGGAGACCGAATCATTAGATCATTTGTTTTGGTACTGTCCGTATGTAGCTTGTTTTTGGTCACAGGTCCAGGAATGGCTGAAGAATTGGTAGGGTTAGAAAGTAATAATGGAAAATATATATTTTTTAAAAGGGTGTATGTATATATACTCTCTCGCTCGCTCTGGCAAAAGTTTTAGAACACCTACTCATTGAAGGGTTTTTCTTTATTTTTACTATTTTCTACATCGTAGAATAATAGTGAAGACATCAAAACTATGAAATAACACTTATGGAATCATGTAGTAACCAAAAAAAGGTTAAACAAATCAAAATGTATTCTATATTTGACTATGTACAAATATCCACCCTATGCCTTGATGACAGCTTTGCACACTCTTGGCATTCTCTCAACTAGCTTCACCTGGAATGCTTTTCCAACAGTCTTGAAGGAGTTCCCACATATACTGAGCACTTGTTGGCTGCATTTCCTTCACTCTGTGGTCCAACTCATCCCAAACCATCTCAATTTGGTTGAGGTCGGGGGATTGTGGAGGCCAGGTCATCTGATGCAGCACTCCATCACTCTCCTTCTTGGTAAAATAGCCCTTACACAGCCTGGAGGTGTGTTGAGTCATTGCCCTGTTGAAAAACAAATAATAATATGCCATTTACCAGACGCTTTTATCCAAAGCGACTTAGTCATGTGTGCATACAAATGATAGTCCCACTAAGCCCAAACCAGATGGGATGGCGTATCGCTGCAGAATGCTGTGGTAGCCATGCTGGTTAAGTGTGCCTTGAATTCTAAATAAATCACAGACCGTGTCACCAGCAAAGCACCCCCACACCATAAAACCTACTCCATGCTTTACAGTGGGAACTACACATGCAGAGATAATCCGTTCACCCGCACCGCGTCGCACAAAGACGCGGCGGTTGCATCCAAAGATCTCCTATTTGGACTCCAGACCAAAGGACACATTTCCACCGGTCTAATGTCCATTGCTCATGTTTCTTGGCCCAAGTAAGTCTTATTATTATTATTAGTGTCCTTTAGTAGTGGTTTCTTTGCAGCAATTCGACCATGAAGGCCTGATTCACACAGTCCCCTTGAACAGTTGATGTTGAGATGTCTGTTACTTACATTTTAGTCATTTAGCAGACACTCTTATCCAGAGTGACTTACAGTTAGAGTGCATACATTTTTCATACTTGAACTCTGAAGCATTTATTTGGGCTGCAATTTCTGAGGCTGGTAACTTGATTGAACTTATCCTCTGCAGCAGAGGTAACTCTGGGTCTTCCTTTCCTGTGGCGGTCCTCATGAGAGCCAGTTTTGTCATAGCGCTTGATGGTTTTTGCGACTGCACTTGAAGAAACTTTCAAAGTTCTTGACATTTTCCGCATTGACTGACCTTCATGTCTTAAAGTAATGATGGACTGTCGTTTCTCTTTACTTATTTGAGCTGTTCTTTCCATAATATGGGCTTGGTCTTGTACCAAATAGGGCTATCTTCTGTATACCAACCCTACCTTGTCACAACACAACTGATTGGCTAAAACACATTAACTTTTTAAGAAGGCACACCTGATAATTGAAATGCATTCCAGTTGACAACCTCATGAAGCTGGTTGAGAGAATGCCAAGAATGTGCAAAGCTGTCATCAAGGCAAATGGTGGCTACTTTGAAGAATCTCAAATATAAAATATTTTCTGATTTATTGAACACATTTATTTGGTTACTACATGATTCCATATGTGTTATTTCATAGTTTTGATGTCTTCACTATTATTCTACAATGTAAAAATTAAGAAAAACCCTTGAATGAGTAGGTGTGTCCAAACTTTTGACTGGTACTGTATATTTGCAAAAAATATATGGGAGATTGGAAGTGATGCAGACAATTACATTGATGGAAGCTACAATCTATCTGCAATATTAAAGCTGATCTACCCCCTAAAAAAATATATATATATTTCAACAGTCAATGTTTGTCTCTGTTGCAGAATCACTGATCTACAAATACATTTGTATCCCAAATTATTCCTTATGTCATCAAGACTAGCAAATCTGTGCCTCACCTTGCTCAAACTGTTCCCCTCAAACATGCGGATTCACTCAGATTGATCTATCAAAAGTCTCCTCTGAATAACAATTTATCAGTCAGTCAGATTGTCATGTGTTTATTTCCGTTGCAGCACGAGGATGACTTTGAGCTGCGGAAGCAGCTAATAGGCCAGGCCATGGGGCAGCACGGGCAGCAGTTGGTCACCCAGCTCATGCACACATGCTGCTTCTGCCTGCCACCTTACACACTCCCCGACGTGGCTGAGGTGCTTTGGGAGATCATGGTGTTCGACAGGCCGGTGAGTCTCACACACACACACACACACACACACACTCTTAGCTCTTTCACTCCTGACAGTACTTATACATATGCAGTTGAACATGCACTGGTGTCTTCAACAGGTGCTTGCTGTCATACCACAATATGACACTAAGAGAACATCTTTCAACAGGGACCACAATTCATATTCACACACACTTCCAATGACATGGGCATGACAGGACTTTCAATCATGAGATAAAAGTGTGTTGTAGTACTACGATTGCATTGCCTCCTGATGTGCGTTTGATGTTTAACGTTGCGGATATGTTTTCTAGACGTTCTGCCGCTGGCTGGAGAATGCGCTGAAGGGGCTTCCTAAGGAGACGTCAGGCGGGGCGGTGACCGTCACAAACAAACAGCTCACAGATTTCCACAAGCAAGTCACCAGGTGAGCATATCACAGCCACGCCCCTTCCATGCTTCTCAAGTGTAATCTGGTGCATTCCTTCCTGCCAGAAATGATCTAACTAGCCACATGTTGTCCTCATAGGTTCAGGAGTTATGTCAGGTGAAACTCTGCATAGTAGATGACTCCCTGTCTGCTGTTTTTCTACTATAAAACAGCTAGCTGTTTATGTTCTGACTCTGGGAAGAGCTCATGTGTCACTGGGCATGCTCAAACGAGCTGCTCCTGTGGCATTGGAACGCTGGCAAACCGGAGTAGGGAAACCTCATGGATTCCCTGCCACAGGTTCAGGCTCGCCTAGAAGCGTCCCTTCCCTTTTCCAGCGATCCACCCTCCCTCCCACGCAGTCTCTCTGAGGGAATGGGAGCTTCAGACAGAAATACTATCTAGCTGTCATCTGAGGGAGCACTTTGAGTTCACAGTAGGAGTCTTGAGACAAACCGCAGGCTAGACATGGGTTAATTTCAGTTCAGATTAATTTAAAGTGAACTTGATTAAATGGTGATCCTGAATGTGTTGAATTACCTTTTTTTTATTTTCCTATTTCATTTGAAATCACCTTTACCATGTAAATGCACCACATGAATAACGTTGCCCTTTCTCGCTCCCCCTCTCTTCCTGCCACCCCCTCTTTCTCCGTCTGTCCATCTCTCCAGTGCGGAGGAGTGTAAGCAGGTGTGCTGGGCCATCCGGGAGTTCACCAGATTGTTCCGATAGCCACGCCCAAAGAGCTCTGCCAGAACACCAGGTAAGGCATCAACACAGAAACACAAACAACCCCCCGCACTGGGATCTGCAGACTCATCTCGCCCCATGTCTTTAGATGGTTCCAAAAAAACATCTGATCGTATATAGGTTGGCAAGTGTCAGTAAGATCTCCATTGATTTCTTATTGTCCTTTCATTGTTTTTATTCCTCAGGTTAAATATTTTGGCGAACATTCAGAGGTGACGGCAAAGAGGCTGAAGACCGCAGCAGATGAGAATCTAAAGGGATCTCCTACTGGACAGATGGGCGGGACTTGGCACTGTGGAAAGCCAATCAGACGCATCGCAAGGATTGGAGTGACAGGGTGAACCCGTAATCGAAACGCGCCTTCGACTTTGGCCGTGTGAGAAGAGAAGCCCCCCCCCCCCCCCCCCCCCTTCCGCTCCCTCTCGCTCACTGTCGCCACAGTAACAGGTGGCACGAGGGTTGAAAGGGGGTGGGGTGGGGGGGGTCAGGTCCGAGGAGGAACGAGAATTCACCGACTCAAAGAAATGGAATGGGATTAGTTCTGCGTCAGTTGGATTTCTACAGGATCCATCTTCAAAAAGAACAAGAGAAGGGAAGGAGAAAAAAACAAAGAAAAAAAACAAAGGATGTGCCTGGTTGCAAATCATAATGCATCAAAAAAAGACTTGTACGTTTTTAAATTGAGAAATGATTTATTTTCATGGATGTGTCTTTAGAACTTTAACATGGTCTTGCTGTCGGTGCCATATAGAAAAATAAATAGCAAACCCACGATGCCCTTCACAAAATGGTCACCACTGCCTTGTGGAGGCATTTAGGAAATGGTTGAAGGGAATGCTGGGAGATTTGGCGTCACCTTTGACCTTTTTAAACATGTTGGCTGGAGTTTTACTGTTCTCTATTGCCAGGGAAGGAGAGTTGTGACTGGTCGAGTGGGACTCTGGCAAATAGTATATATTTTCTTTTTTTTTTGTTCTTCCACCTCTGGAGGCAGACACCACCGTTGGCGCTGTAGCCATGTTGTGAACAACAATAAAAACGACCGTGAGGAACAAACGTGCCCTTGTCTGTGTATCATGTTTTAGAGTTTAGACGTTTGTTCATACCAGACTCCTCACCCACACTCATTCTCTGGAAGAAACCAGTTGGTCAAGGTGTTCTGTCTGTCAGACAACACACACTTTGATATTATGCATTTGGTGTGCTATAGGTGTTGTATTCTACTTAGATAAATGTCCAGACAGATGCTGACATGCATGCATTTAAGTAGCTGCAACTCAGTGGAAATATATCCAGAGACACTTCCACACATGCAACCATACATTTACATTTTAGTCATTTAGCAGACGCTCTTATCCAGAGCGACTTAGTTAGTGAGTGCATACATTTTTATTTTTCATGCTGGCCCCCCATGGGAATCGAACCCACAACCCTGGTGTTGCAAACGCCATGCTCTACCAACTGAGCTACATCCCTGCCAGCCATTCCCTCCCCTACCCTGGACGACGCTGGGCCAATTGTGCGCCGCCCCATGGGTCTCCCGGTCGCGGCCGGCTACGACAGAGCCTGGATTCGAACCAGGTTCTCTAGTGACACAGCTAACACTATACCGTTAACATTGCACAAACACAAGCCCCTACTTTTCTCGATCCCATTCACACTAATCAAAATCCAATTTCCAGTGAATGCGTGTCACTCACCACCCTTTCTTCAGAGGGTAATTTGCTGACAGGTTCAATCTCATCGCCAAGTCAATGTTTGCATCACGTCCACAATGTACGACCCCGGTCTGTGTTCAAGTCACAGGTTCCCTTCCAGCTGTAAACGGAACATGGAGGCAGGCGTTTCTCACCGTTCAGGAATTCTCCCCTATAATGACCTATGGAATCTGAGTGAACTGTGACTACCAGTGGATGCGTTCACACATTCACAACTGCATCCTTACAAAACCTTGACTTAAACACCCTCAATGACAGTTCTTTCACAGCAACATTTCTCACAAGTATGACAATCTTTGTTTTGGTCAGGGAAGAAATGACCACTTCGCTGATTTAATGTATTCATACGTAGTATTTATTAAAAAATAACATTCCAATACTTTTTACATTGCATTTTTGGCACAGCATCAGTGTCCATTCATTTACAGAGTGTTGTGGTTGCTCTAGTACAGTATATTAAAAGGTGGCTGCGAAAGGAAGAAAATTGATGAATTCAAAAGTGACAATTGAGGGAGTAATACATGGCAACATAAAAAAAAAAAATACTGCAATGGTATTTGAAATTCAAAAAAATAATTTAAGGGACCAAAAAACATTGACAGCGCTACAATTATGACAAAATAGGAGTTAAGATACCGCAGTCTGGGTTTTGACGATGTAGAAGTAACCCAAGATCTAGTTACGAAATACAAGATGCTCTCGGCTGGATGGTACGGATGAAGATTCCATTGATGGTGTCTACCATCGAATGAGGGAGGCTCAGGGTTGAAAGAATGCTAACATCCCTACACACAAAACATTGAAGGGTAGTTGAATAAGGTTATTGATCCAAGCCCAGTGTGCCATTAAACCCACATGTAATAGTCCATGAGACAGTCAAGTCCTTGTGTTGCGAGGCCATGATCCAGGACCATGTTGAAGACCCAGCCTCCACAGCAAGAGGCCCATGACTCAGTGGTCCCAGGCCGTGCTGGCTCTGGAGAAGCCTCTGGAGCTCTTGAACTGCTCCACCGTCTGGTCCTTCAGGTCTGGGGTGGGATCTGCAGCCCGGATGCTGTCTGTGGACCAGGACAGCTCTCCAGAAAACATCTCTGTTAGGATCCGCGCCACCCACCGGACCACCTGGAACATTGAAATGGATGAGGAGACGGGAGGGTCCCTGTTAAGTCAATGTGATCATTTCATGTGTGTGTACTGTATCTGTCAATGATCATCAAGAGTATGGGGTCAATTCGTTCTGCTCACTGCACAACGTGAGCTTTTCTCCTTGGGTTTCTGTTGGTCTGGCCAGTCCTCCCGAAGCAGAAGTAGAGCTCAAACGGGGGTGGGGTGGGAAATTTCACCCTTCTGGAACAAGAAGCTTTTACATTTTTTTCAATATTGAAAACCTTTTTTTTTGGAACTTTTTATTGGGCTGCAATTTTCGGGGCGGTAATTTTGATTGAATTTACCCCTTCCCGCAGAGGATAACTCTGGGTCTTCCTTTCCTGTGGCGGTCCTCATGAGAGCCAGTTTTGTCATAGCGCTTGATGGTTTTTGCGACTGCACTTGAAGAAGAACTTTCAAAGTTCTTGACATTTTCCGCATTGACTGACCTTCATGTCTTAAAGTAATGATGGACTGTCGTTTCTCTTTACTTATTTGAGCTGTTCTTTCCATAATATGGGCTTGGTCTTGCTACCAAATAGGGCTATCTTCTGTATACCAACCCTACCTTGTCACAACACAACTGATTGGCTAAAACACATTAACTTTTTAAGAAGGCACACCTGATAATTGAAATGCATTCCAGTTGACAACCTCATGAAGCTGGTTGAGAGAATGCCAAGAATGTGCCAAAGCTGTCATCAAGGCAAATGGTGGCTACTTTGAAGAATCTCAAATATAAAATATTTTCTGATTTATTGAACACATTTATTTGGTTACTACATGATTCCATATGTGTTATTTCATAGTTTTGATGTCTTCACTATTATTCTACAATGTAAAAATTAAGAAAAACCCCTTGAATGAGTAGGTGTGTCCAAACTTTTGACTGGTACTGTATATTTGCAAAAAATATATGGGAGATTGGAAGTGATGCAGACAATTACATTGATGGAAGCTACAATCTATCTGCAATATTAAAGCTGATCTACCCCCTAAAAAAATATATATATATTTCAACAGTCAATGTTTGTCTCTGTTGCAGAATCACTGATCTACAAATACATTTGTATCCCAAATTATTCCTTATGTCATCAAGACTAGCAAATCTGTGCCTCACCTTGCTCAAACTGTTCCCCTCAAACATGCGGATTCACTCAGATTGATCTATCAAAAGTCTCCTCTGAATAACAATTTATCAGTCAGTCAGATTGTCATGTGTTTATTTCCGTTGCAGCACGAGGATGACTTTGAGCTGCGGAAGCAGCTAATAGGCCAGGCCATGGGGCAGCACGGGCAGCAGTTGGTCACCCAGCTCATGCACACATGCTGCTTCTGCCTGCCACCTTACACACTCCCCGACGTGGCTGAGGTGCTTTGGGAGATCATGGTGTTCGACAGGCCGGTGAGTCTCACACACACACACACACACACACACACTCTTAGCTCTTTCACTCCTGACAGTACTTATACATATGCAGTTGAACATGCACTGGTGTCTTCAACAGGTGCTTGCTGTCATACCACAATATGACACTAAGAGAACATCTTTCAACAGGGACCACAATTCATATTCACACACACTTCCAATGACATGGGCATGACAGGACTTTCAATCATGAGATAAAAGTGTGTTGTAGTACTACGATTGCATTGCCTCCTGATGTGCGTTGATGTTTAACGTTGCGGATATGTTTTCTAGACGTTCTGCCGCTGGCTGGAGAATGCGCTGAAGGGGCTTCCTAAGGAGACGTCAGGCGGGGCGGTGGTGACCGTCACAAACAAACAGCTCACAGATTTCCACAAGCAAGTCACCAGGTGAGCATATCACAGCCACGCCCCTTCCATGCTTCTCAAGTGTAATCTGGTGCATTCCTTCCTGCCAGAAATGATCTAACTAGCCACATGTTGTCCTCATAGGTTCAGGAGTTATGTCAGGTGAAACTCTGCATAGTAGATGACTCCCTGTCTGCTTGTTTTTCTACTATAAAACAGCTAGCTGTTTATGTTCTGACTCTGGGAAGAGCTCATGTGTCACTGGGCATGCTCAAACGAGCTGCTCCTGTGGCATTGGAACGCTGGCAAACCGGAGTAGGGAAACCTCATGGATTCCCTGCCACAGGTTCAGGCTCGCCTAGAAGCGTCCCTTCCCTTTTCCAGCGATCCACCCTCCCTCCCACGCAGTCTCTCTGAGGGAATGGGAGCTTCAGACAGAAATACTATCTAGCTGTCATCTGAGGGAGCACTTTGAGTTCACAGTAGGAGTCTTGAGACAAACCGCAGGCTAGACATGGGTTAATTTCAGTTCAGATTAATTTAAAGTGAACTTGATTAAATGGTGATCCTGAATGTGTTGAATTACCTTTTTTTTATTTTCCTATTTCATTTGAAATCACCTTTACCATGTAAATGCACCACATGAATAACGTTGCCCTTTCTCGCTCCCCCTCTCTTCCTGCCACCCCCTCTTTCTCCGTCTGTCCATCTCTCCAGTGCGGAGGAGTGTAAGCAGGTGTGCTGGGCCATCCGGGAGTTCACCAGATTGTTCCGATAGCCACGCCCAAAGAGCTCTGCCAGAACACCAGGTAAGGCATCAACACAGAAACACAAACAACCCCCCGCACTGGGATCTGCAGGACTCATCTCGCCCCATGTTCTTTAGATGGTTCCAAAAAAACATCTGATCGTATATAGGTTGGCAAGTGTCAGTAAGATCTCCATTGATTTCTTATTGTCCTTTCATTGTTTTTATTCCTCAGGTTAAATATTTTGGCGAACATTCAGAGGTGACGGCCAAAGAGGCTGAAGACCGCAGCAGATGAGAATCTAAAGGGATCTCCTACTGGACAGATGGGCGGGACTTGGCACTGTGGAAAGCCAATCAGACGCATCGCAAGGATTGGAGTGACAGGGTGAACCCGTAATCGAAACGCGCCTTCGACTTTGGCCGTTGTGAGAAGAGAAGCCCCCCCCCCCCCCCCCCCCTTCCGCTCCCTCTCGCTCACTGTCGCCACAGTAACAGGTGGCACGAGGGTTGAAAGGGGGGTGGGGTGGGGGGGGGTCAGGTCCGAGGAGGAACGAGAATTCACCGACTCAAAGAAATGGAATGGGATTTAGTTCTGCGTCAGTGGATTTCTACAGGATCCATCTTCAAAAAGAACAAGAGAAGGGAAGGAGAAAAAAACAAAGAAAAAAAACAAAGGATGTGCCTGGTTGCAAATCATAATGCATCAAAAAAAGACTTGTACGTTTTTAAATTGAGAAATGATTTATTTTCATGGATGTGTCTTTAGAACTTTAACATGGTCTTGCTGTCGGTGCCATATAGAAAAATAAATAGCAAACCCACGATGCCCTTCACAAAATGGTCACCACTGCCTTGTGGAGGCATTTAGGAAATGGTTGAAGGGAATGCTGGGAGATTTGGCGTCACCTTTGACCTTTTTAAACATGTTGGCTGGAGTTTTACTGTTCTCTATTGCCAGGGAAGGAGAGTTGTGACTGGTCGAGTGGGACTCTGGCAAATAGTATATATTTTCTTTTTTTTTTGTTCTTCCACCTCTGGAGGCAGACACCACCGTTGGCGCTGTAGCCATGTTGTGAACAACAATAAAAACGACCGTGAGGAACAAACGTGCCCTTGTCTGTGTATCATGTTTTAGAGTTTAGACGTTTGTTCATACCAGACTCCTCACCCACACTCATTCTCTGGAAGAAAACCAGTTGGTCAAGGTGTTCTGTCTGTCAGACAACACACACTTTGATATTATGCATTTGGTGTGCTATAGGTGTTGTATTCTACTTAGATAAATGTCCAGACAGATGCTGACATGCATGCATTTAAGTAGCTGCAACTCAGTGGAAATATATCCAGAGACACTTCCACACATGCAACCATACATTTACATTTTAGTCATTTAGCAGACGCTCTTATCCAGAGCGACTTAGTTAGTGAGTGCATACATTTTTATTTTTCATGCTGGCCCCCATGGGAATCGAACCCACAACCCTGGTGTTGCAAACGCCATGCTCTACCAAACTGAGCTACATCCCTGCCAGCCATTCCCTCCCCTACCCTGGACGACGCTGGGCCAATTGTGCGCCGCCCCATGGGTCTCCCGGTCGCGGCCGGCTACGACAGAGCCTGGATTCGAACCAGGTTCTCTAGTGACACAGCTAACACTATACCGTTAACATTGCACAAACACAAGCCCCTACTTTTCTCGATCCCATTCACACTAATCAAAATCCAATTTCCAGTGAATGCGTGTCACTCACCACCCTTTCTTCAGAGGGTAATTTGCTGACAGGTTCAATCTCATCGCCAAGTCAATGTTTGCATCACGTCCACAATGTACGACCCCGGTCTGTGTTCAAGTCACAGGTTCCCTTCCAGCTGTAAACGGAACATGGAGGCAGGCGTTTCTCACCGTTCAGGAATTCTCCCCTATAATGACCTATGGAATCTGAGTGAACTGTGACTACCAGTGGATGCGTTCACACATTCACAACTGCATCCTTACAAAACCTTGACTTAAACACCCTCAATGACAGTTCTTTCACAGCAACATTTCTCACAAGTATGACAATCTTTGTTTTGGTCAGGGAAGAAATGACCACTTCGCTGATTTAATGTATTCATACGTAGTATTTATTAAAAAATAACATTCCAATACTTTTTACATTGCATTTTTGGCACAGCATCAGTGTCCATTCATTTACAGAGTGTTGTGGTTGCTCTAGTACAGTATATTAAAAGGTGGCTGCGAAAGGAAGAAAATTGATGAATTCAAAAGTGACAATTGAGGGAGTAATACATGGCAACATAAAAAAAAAAAAATACTGCAATGGTATTTGAAATTCAAAAAAATAATTTAAGGGACCAAAAAACATTGACAGCGCTACAATTATGACAAAATAGGAGTTAAGATACCGCAGTCTGGGTTTTGACGATGTAGAAGTAACCCAAGATCTAGTTACGAAATACAAGATGCTCTCGGCTGGATGGTACGGATGAAGATTCCATTGATGGTGTCTACCATCGAATGAGGGAGGCTCAGGGTTGAAAGAATGCTAACATCCCTACACACAAAACATTGAAGGTAGTTGAATAAGGTTATTGATCCAAGCCCAGTGTGCCATTAACCCACATGTAATAGTCCATGAGCAGTCAAGTCCTTGTGTTGCGAGGCCATGATCCAGGACCTGTTGAAGACCCAGCCTCCACAGCAAGAGGCCCCTGACTCAGGGTCCCAGGCCGTGCTGGCTCTGGAGAAGCCTCTGGAGCTCCTTGAACTGCTCCACCGTCTGGTCCTTCAGGTCTGGGTTGGAGATCTGCAGCCGGATGCTGTCTGTGGACCAGGACAGCTCTCCAGAAAACATCTCTGTTAGGATCCGCGCCACCACCGGGACCACCTGGACATGAAATGGATGGAGGAGACGGGAGGGTCCCTGTTAAGTCAATGTGATCATTTCATGTGTGTGTACTGTATCTGTCAATGATCATCAAGAGTATGGGGTCAATTCGTTCTGCTCACCTGCACAACGATGAGCTTCTTCTCCTTGGGTTTCTGTTGGTCTGGCCAGTCCTCCCCGAAGCAGAAGTAGAGCTCAAACGGGGGTGGGGTGGGAGTTTCACCCTTCTGGAACAAGATGAGCCCTGTTGTTGGTGTGTATGTGTGTGCATGAGAGGGAGAAAGAAAGGACACTTGAGCAACAGCATCTCCTGTAATGCGATAATCACTGTGTATATGATATCTGTTCTACAGCTAATCCATTTAGATGCCTGGGCTTTGCAACAATAGCAGTACTACTCAAGAGCTTACTCACAGAAAGGGCATGTGACTGAAATATTCAGGGATCAATTGAAACTCAGAGAGCCTCAAGTGAACTGAAAGTCCAGCATTGTTATCTGACAGGATAATTTGGTGTTATGTGATTATTTGATCTCAATTGAAAAAAATGGGTTTTGAGGGATCAGATGGGGATTCAAACACTATGAAACTGCTGCCTTAGATGACTAAAATATCCAGCAATAAAATGGATTGACTGACTCACCGTGCAGGAAGTTATTGAGGCTGAACACTTTGTACTTCCTCTCCCTCTCCATAGGGTTGGGAGGCCCCTGCTCATCCACGCCCGGCCCAGACCAATACACCTTGCACTGACACAACCTGATAGCGTATATATCCTGTTCCCAGATTTCCAGGATCAGGCCTCGGTCCATCACGTCCAGCAGGTGCTCTGTGTAGAATCGCTGCTTCTCGTTCTGGATGTCGGCCGAGCCAGGGAAGAGAACTTGGTTGAGGGTGACGGGGCCGAACAGGTCCACCTGCTCCGGTGTGGGCTCCAGGTGGCCGTAGTACAGCCGGCAGCCCTGGGGGTTACTCACAGTCAGGGAGCCCATCGTACGACCCCGGTACTGGAACCTCATGTCCAGGTCAGTCACTGAAACCACAGTCAAATAATGTAGTGCCAGAAGAATTGTGGGCACTTAGTCAACATTTAATATAGCTCTTTCTAACCATGCCTAATAGTATTCTGATACCAAGTTATCATAAGACTGAAAAAGGGTGTGAATCAATGAATAACACATTAACGCTTTAGCTATAAAAGGGTAAAACTCGATTTTGCCTATTCCAATTCACTACAGAACCTGTCGTACCATCCCCCACACTTTCAGACAGCTGCCAGTGTGTGCCATTTGATGGGTGTGACAGACAGGTATTCCAGACTACTTCACTAATACCTGATAGCCTATAATCCATTGAATGAGTCAATTGGAGGCAACTGTTTTGAGTGAATGTATTACAATGTCGGCATTGTGCTGCACGCAGCAATACCAAATAAAGTTCACACCCTGTTGTTATGGTAGGGGAATGACTATTTGGATAACATGCAAGGAACTATTGCAGAAGTGCCTGACTGCCAAAGTAAAGCCATAGTACAAAAAGCAGTATTCTTAACACAGCATGGACCTATAGGTGATATTCCACTCACATGGCAGGCTGTTCAGCAGGTCATATTTGTAGGGTGGTACCGCCTGCCCTTCTTCCTGGTTCTGGACTCCTGACATGGCCTCCATGGGGGCGGCGCCTGGGTTAGGGGCAACCGGAGCCACAGATGCAGCAGAAGGAACCATGGGGGGCATCTCAGTGACCACAGGAGGGTGCATGCTCCCTCCACCCATCCCCAGGCCATTGGAGGGTCCTGCGGGTCCAGGGTGCACAAAGACCCCATGTTCCAACTTCACCACCAATGGAACGTGGGTAGAAAACTCTGGGGGAGCCATGGTTGGCTGAGGGAGATCCGTTGCCATGGTAATGCCCCCGTTGGGATTGGAGCGCATGTTGGGACTGGGGTACATAGGTGTGTGGTGGGGGGTGCCATATCTGTCATTGAGGGGGGAGCTGAAGGGAACGTCTATCCTATGTGCAGTAGGGAATGCCTGAAAACTGGGTGGGTCACTAATTATGGGGTCTGGGAGAGACATGAGGACAAACACAAGCACATAAGACCTTGCATAATGTCAATAGTGACACATTTCAAAAGGTTAACCTTCCAAGCGATTTCTGCTTAATTCACCTATGGCTCAGTAGCAAAGGTGTGTTGACAGTATACACTTACCAATGGAGAGACCAAAAATATTCGGCATCTGAAAACAAAGACAAAATGTAATGTTTATGTAAAAAAGCTGATATATGGGTATTGTTCTCAAACTATTTTGAGATACCACATTGTTCTCAGATAATGGAAAAGTAATTTGTCTACACCTTACCTCCTCCTCATCTTCATCAAATGTGTCTGAAACCAAATCAAAAGGAATATGCCACCAACATGGGGGAGAAAATCTAATTAATTTCACAAAAAATTAATATCTGAATATCTATTCAACAAAGTTATTCTAAAGAACTAAATCCAATAAGACAAAGCTTCCAATGAGCCTGCATGCTTACACACATGCACACACACACTTACCTCCATTGCAGGGCTGGTCACAGACCTCGTAGATCTTGTAGGGCTGGACAGGTGTCTCCTTGGTGCCGTCGTATTTCAGTTTGAACTCCCGGCTCTTGTTGAGGGCACAGCGCAGGTTGGCCTTCCACTTGGCAGGGTCAGGCTCATCCAGACCCTCCTGGTACTTCCCTGTCTCCAGAGCCCAGGCCTGGGGGAGAATGAGGTTACATTTTAATGAATGGGAGAAGGGGTCACATCTGGATGGAATCAAATGGGTGGGGGTTAAATTAAATGTAAATCAATATATTGTATTTATTAAAGGGTAGCAGTGCTAATGGAAGTGCCCTGGAACAAATGACAAATAAACCATTTAATTTCGGCATTATGTGCCTGTAAAAATGTTGGCTACTGTCGACCATTCCTCTCTCCGTTGTTTAATAAGCCTACATGGGTCATGGTCCTTCTACCCCCCCCCCCCCCCCCCCCCCTAAAAAATAAATAAAAATAAAAAAATATATAAAAAAAAATATATAATAATAATAAAACATTGTGAAGTGGTTATCCCACTGGCTATAGGGTGAATGCACCAATTTGTAAGTCGCTCTGGATAAGAGCGTCTGCTAAATGACGTAAATGTAAATGTTGCACTAAACAGGACAAATCTGAGGGTGCATGTGCCCCTGTACCCCCTACGGGCATGACGCCTCTGCACCCAGCTGTTGTTCCATGTTACATACTCCTTAAAAGTTACCTTGCACTGCAATTAACCAACCACATTACTCACAACTACGGTGCATTCGGAAAGTATTCAGACCCCTTGACCTTTTCCACATTTTGTTACGTTACAGACTTATTCTAAAATATATTAAATTGTTTTTTCCCAGTCTACACACAATACCCCATAATGACAAACCAAAAACAGGTGTTCAGAAATTGTAGCAGAAATATCGCATTTACATAAGTATTCAGACCCTTTACTCAGTACTTTGTTGAAGCACCTTTGGCAGCGATTACAGCCTCCAGTCTCCTTGGGTATGACGCTACAAGCTTGACACACCTGTATTAGGGGAGTTTCTCCCATTTTTCTCTGCAGATCCTCTCAAGCTCTGTCAGGTTGGATGGGGAGCGTCGCTGCACAGCTATTTTCAGGTCTCTCCTGAGATGTTCTAGATTTGTGCCTCGACACAATCCTGTCTCGGAGCTCTATGGACAATTCCTTAGACCTCATAGCTTGGTTGATGTTCTGACATGCACTGTCAAATGTGGGACCTTATATAGACAGGTGTGTGCCTTTTCAAATCATGTCCAATCAATTGAATTTACCACAGGTTTTTCATTATGGGGTATTGGTGTAGATTGATGAGGAAAAAAAGTAATTTAATCAATTTTAGAATAAAGCTGTAACGTAAAAAAATGTGAAAAAAGTCAAGGGGTCTGAATACTTTCTGAATGCACTGTAAATGGAGAACAGGGTAATGGCTAATGAGGAAATGACTCGAGCCAAAAGAATGTCTGAGGTAGGGAGTAGGCTGTTAGTGCAGTGGATATCATGTGTACATCCTTATACACTAGGTCAGGAAAACCCGAGAGGTTTGACACTAGAGAAGCAGTGGAAATAAAACTAAGGCTCTTTCAGTTCACTAAAACAGTTGATAGATTTATTGCCGATTGGGATAAGGAAGTGTGTGGGTGACATAGTAACTGAGTTCCTTAGAAATACTTTTTGAAATGTGCTACTTGCAGTTCAGGGAATAATGTCTGTGTGCTGTTTTGATTAAGCACTTCTGAAAATGGTTTAGCTTGTGACAAATGCCTGTTCCTCGACTTGCCAGTAGTGATCATAGAAAAAAAGTAGATCTAAGTAGACAACTTAGATCTAACTACAGTGTGATATCAAAATGACGGCATACAGAGTTTAAGCATTCAGATCTGTCATGCCATTCTCAACACGGACCTCCCTCTCACCTTGAAGATGGTGTTCTCTTCCTCAGTGGTAAGCAGGTGTCTTGTGGCGTGTCTCCAGGGGATCTGGAAGAGCCGGTGGTCCGGGCTGAGCCACTGCAGGCCGGGGTACCTCCCGCTGTTCACCTGGGCTAACAGCCAGGGCTTTAGGCGGATCCTCCGAGGCTGCACACTCATCATGGGGCAGGGCACCACGCAGGGAGGAGAAAGGGGCTTCAGAGGGGGTGAGTGAAGGGGCTGGAAAGTTGAAGGGAAAAGTAATGGTTAAGATGATGGGTGACGGGCACTGGGGGTAGGGGACAGAGTGGGTACTGAGGGGGTGTCTCGAAGCGTGATACGAGAGTAATGGTTCAGATGGGTGATGAGGCAATGGGGGTAGGGGAATGTGGTGAGGGTTGAAAGAGAAGATACTCCCTACCATCTACAGGAAGAGAGCTGGGGTGGGGTGGATGAGGAGAATGGAGAGAGGGGATGGGTGGGGGAAAGAGAGGTATGAAGGTAGAGAGAGTAGTCAACAACTCAGAATGCCCGTTTTTATTCATGATGGCAACAGGCCTGTTTAGGAAATGATCTGAGAAACAAAAAGTGTTCTGTGCCTGAAAAATACAGAACAAACACACTTCCAAGGCAATAAAAAACAAACATCATAGAGTTGGGAGAATTAACATACACATCATGTAACAGTTGTAGGCTATTCCTTAATCCTTTAATCCATTTCATGACAGTACCAAATTTGCTTTTGTCATCCTAAAATGATGGATTTGTTACTATGACAACAAGCCTAGGCCCTCCGGGCACAGAAGCAGAGTCCACTGTCACACCAGTGTATTGTATGAGATCACAGAGGATCATATGTATGTAGGTAACTCCTTTACAGCCAAAGAGCAACTTGTCTAAAGTAGCACATTAGAGGCAAATACAAGGCCAGCTTGTATGCGCTGAGACAAACAGATGCATCTGGATAGAAATTGTCCTCGTCCTGAGGCTTCCACACATGTCCTTCTGAGCCCTTGTACCAACACCACACACGAGTGACTTGAAAAGCGCAAGGTAACTTTAAGGACTATGTAACACGGAACAACAGCTGGGTGCAGAGGCGTCATGCCCATAGGGGGTACAGGGGCACGTGCACCCTCAGATTTGTCCTGTTTAAAAAAGTAATATTTATTTTTTATTATTTGGCTTTAACTAGTCCATATAGGTTCCCAATATTCCAACCTCATAACTAGCTACCAATACGTTTTTCAGGCTATCAATCAAGTTAGAGTAGCTAGCTTGTCTATCATCTTAGCTGGCATGCCTGCTGGCAAGGTTGTTAGACTTTAGAAAAGCAAGCATTTACTAAATGTACTGAATAAGACTCACATTCGTTTCAATCCACAGGGTTCAATTCTTGGGCCGACTCTTTTCTCTGTGTATATCAATGATGTCGCTCTTGCTGCTGGTGACTCTCAGATCCACCTCTACGCAGACGACACCATTTTGTATACATCTGGCCCTTCATTGGACACTGTGTTAACAAACCTCCAAACGAGATTCAATGCCATACAACACTCCTTCCGTAGTCTCCAACTGCTCTTAAACACTAGTAAAACGAAATGCATGCTCTTCAATCGAACGCTACTGGCACCCGCCCACCCGACTAGAATCACTACTCTCGACGGGTCTGACCTAGAGTATGTGGACAACTACAAATACCTAGGTGTCTGGTTAGACCGTAAACTCTCCTTCCAGACTCACATTAAGCATCTCCAATCCAAAGTTAAATCTAGAATCTGCTTCCTATTTCGCAACAAAACCTCCTTCACTCATGCTGCCAAACATGCCCTCGTAAAACTGACTATTCTACCGATCCTTGACTTCGGCGATGTCATTTACAAAATAGCCTCCAACACTCTACTCAGCAAATTGGATGTAGTCTATCACAGTGCCATCCGTTTTGTCACCAAAGCCCCATATACTACCCACCACTGTGACCTGTATGCTCTTGTTGGCTGGTCCTCACTACATATTCGTCGCCAAACCCACTGGCTCCAGGCCATCTATAAATCACTGCTAGGCAAATCCCTGCCTTATCTTCGCTCATTGGTCACCATAGCAACACCCACCCGTAGTATGCGCTCCAGCAGGTATATCTCACTGGTCATCCCCAAAGCCAACACCTCCTTTGGCCACCATTCCTTCCAGTTCTCTGCTGCCAATGACTGGAACGAACTGCAAAATCTCTGAAGCTGGAGACTCTTATCTCCCTCACTAACTTTAAGCATCAGTTGTCAGAGCACCTTACAGATCAATGCACCTGTACACAGCCCATCTGAAATTAGCCCACCCAACTACCTCATCCCCATATTGTTATTTATTTTGCTCATTTGCACCCCAGTATCTCTATTTGCACATCACCTCTTGCACATCTATCATTCCAGTGTTAATACTAATTGTAATTATTTTGCACTATGGCCTATTTATTGCCTTACCTCCATAACTTGCTATAACCAGGCTACATTTGCACACACTGTATATTTTCTGTTGTATTTTTGACTTTGTTTTTTTACCCCATATGTAACTCTGTGTTGTTTTTATCACATTGCTTTGCTTTATCTTGGCCAGGTCGCAGTTGTAAATGAGAACTTGTTCTCAACTGGCCTACCTGGTTAAATAAAGGTGAAATAAAAATTTTTTGAAAAATATTTTACCCAGATTTCTGCAGAAATCCAGAGAAGCATATTTAGTTTCTTAAAATAAAATAAAACACCAGTCAGGAGGATATAGGCAGCACTAGATACTGTATATGCTTAGATATGCAGAAAAATACACTTTTCAAAATATATTATTTTACATGGAATTAAGAATAATGATTATGGCTCTAGATTGCAGGAAAAGGCTGTTTCAAGTGTTTGAAAAATGCTAAATTATCCAACTTGTGGACGGGGAGACTAGCCCCCCTCTGGACCACCCCCCAGCCATCCTTGCGTACTTTGTGCCCACTTAGATTTTTGGGGTGCATGACACCCCTCGCTGGGTGCACAGAGGTGTCTTGTGATGCAGTACAAACACCTACTCATTTATTTTTAGTTGTTCATTCAACACTTTGTGAATGAAAGACATGTCATGCTACCACCCAGTGAGCAGTGGCGGTGAGGTGAAAATTGAGTTTGATTTAATTCACAAGGAATGAGTGAAAAGCAGGTGGCAGAGTACAAGCTCAACGCGATTCAAACCTGCTAAATTACCACAGACTAAAAAAGCACTATAAGCACTTCAGCAATACATCATGAATTGCCTTTATACCAGTGCGCTGCCTATGCGCTTTTTGCTGGTGCTTAAAGCACTTTACATTGTACTGTGCCTTCAGAGAGTATTCACACCCCTTTACCGTTTCCATATTTTGTTGTGTTACAAGGTGGGACTAAAATGGATTGAATTATCTTTTTTTTTTTCAACGATCTACAAAAAAATACTCTAATGTCAAAGTGGAAAAAGATTTCAACATTTGAAATAAACAATGAAATAAAACCCTAATATTTCTTGATTACATAAGTATTCAACCCCCTGAGTCAATACATGTTAGAATCACCTTTGGCAGCGATTACAGCTGTGAGTCTTTCTGGGTAAGTCTCTATGAGCTTTGCACACCTGGATTGTACAGTATTTGCACATACACTACCGTTCAAAAGTTTGGGGCCACTTAGAAATGTCCTTGTTTCCGAAAGAAAAGCAATTTTTTTGTCCATTAAATTAACATCAAATTGATCAGAAATACAGTGTAGACATTGTTAATGTTGTAAATGGCTATTGTAGCTGGAAACAGCTGATTTTTAATGGAATATCTACATAGGCATACAGAGGCACATTATCAGCAACCATCAGTCCTGTGTTCCAATGGCACATTGTGTTTGCTAATCCAAGTTTATCATTTAAAAAGGCTAATTGATCATTAGAAAACCCTTTGCAATTATGTTAGCACAGCTGAAAACTGTTGTGCGATTAAAGAAGCAATAAAACACCAGTCTCAACGTCAACAGTGAAGAGGCAACTCCGGGATGCTGACCTTCTAGGCAGAGTTGCAAAGAAAAAGCCATATCTCAGACTGCCCATCTTAATCTTTTCTTTTTATTGGCCAGTCTGAGATAAGGCTTTTTCTTTGCAACTCTGCCTAGAAGGTCAGCATCCCGGAGTTGCCACTTCACTGTTGACGTTGAGACTGGTGTTTTGCGGGTACTATTTAATGAAGCTGCCAGTTGAGGACCTGTAAGGCGTCTGTTTCTCAAACGAGACACTAATGTATTTGTCCTCTTGCTCAGTTGTGCACCGGGGCCTCCCACTCCGCTTTCTATTCTGGTTAGAGACAGTTTGCGCTGTTCTGTGAAGGGAGTAGTACACAGCGTTGTACGAGATCTTCAGTTTCTTGGCAATTTCTCGCATGGATTAGCCTTCATTTCTCAGAACAAGAATAGACTGACGAGTTTCAGAAGAAAGTTATTTGTTTCTGGCCATTTTGATCCTGTAATCGAATAATTGCTGATGCTCCAGATACTCAACTAGTCTCAAGAAGGCCAGTTCTATTGCTTCTTTAATCAGCACAACAGTTTTCAGCTGTGCTAATATAATTGCAAAAGGGTTTTCTAATGATCAATTAGCCTTTTAAAATGATAAACTTGGATTAGCAAACACAACGTGCCATTGGAACACAGGACTGATGGTTGCTGATAATGGGCCTATGTACACCTATGTAGATATTCCATTAGAAATCAGCCGTTTCCAGCTACAATAGCCATTTACAACATTAACAATGTCTACACTGTATTTCTGATCAATTTGATGTTATTTTAATGGACAAAAAAAAAGGCTTTTCTTTCGAAAACAAGGACATTTCTAAGTGACCCCAAACTTTTGAACGGTGGTGTACATTATTTTTATTATTCTTCAAGCTCTGTCAAGTTGGTTGTTTATCATTGCTATACAGTCATTTTCAAGTCTTGCCATAGATTTTCAAGCAGATTTAAGTCAAAACTGTAACTAGGTCTCTCAGGAACATTCAATGCCGTCTTGATAAGCAACTCCAGTGTATATTTGACCTTGTGTTTTAGGTTATTGTCCTGCTGAAAGTTCAATTTGTCTCTGTGTCTGTTGGAGAGCAGACTGAACCAGGTTTTCCTCTAGGATTTTGCCTGTACTTAGCTCTATCCGTGTCTTTTTATCCTAAAAAAAACTCCCTAGTCCTTGCCGATGACAAGCAT